GAAATCCCGAATATGCAGGGTGGGCCCAGCTCTCCACCGTACCTCTCCAGGGCAAGCAGACAAAGGTGCGTCTACGGAGGCATGCCCGAAAGTGTGGCCAGGGCAGTGAGGTCCTGTGGGTATGGCAACAGCCCTGCTGGCTCGGCCCACTTGCACATGGCTTCTCAAAGCCCCATCAAGTCAAACAGCACTAGCTTTAAATCAACCAAACCACAATACAGCAGTCCAAGGCTTTGTTGCTAAAAAATATACTCAGCACACCGGTGGATTTGAGATTGAGGTTTTTTTCAACGTGACCCCTTCCCACTGGGAGACACGACATCGGGTGTTTTTGTGTAAGATGCCTGTGAGTGTGACTTGTTCTGCCACCAGATAAGCATCTGAGCCTGAAAGGAGTGGAAATAAAGCAGGAAGAATTCAGGGCACCTTAGTGCTCACTTAGGGGGAATGCAGTGGACACTGGGGATTCTGGCTCTGCAGATAAGCGCGGGTGATGGAGTGCCCCCTCCTCACTCAGGGGGGATAGTTCAGGCCTGAACACCCCACATAGCAGATGCCCTGAAACTCGGATCACGTTTAGGGAGCATGCTGTCAATGGACAGAGGATGTTATTTGTTTAAGATTAAATTCAGAGAAAAAAATTATCAGCAAGAAAAAGGATCTATGCTCCTATGAAGGCCACCTTGATCCCAGTGCCCTTCCTCAAAATTCTTACTGGTCCCTGGCATTCGGAATCAGCTGGTCTGGATTTCCCAGTTCAAACTGGATCCGGGCAGAATTCTGAAGTCTCCAAGGTGTCCGTTATCAAACCACATCCTAACGGTACCCTGAGGTAGTCTGTGCTGGAAAAAAAAAATCATTGCCCCGCATTCACCTGTTTATTTATTTTTTGATAAAAATTTACACTCCATTTTTTACGAAAGTGATTTTTACAGTGATTTTTTTATATATTAAAATAAATAATTTTCCCCTAATATAAGAAAAACCTTTCTAAATTAGAAAAATGTGAAAGTTCCTGCGAGTGTCATATACAGCCACTACAAATTTCCTATGAAAAAGAACAAAATACCTAGATCTACGTGTTTTTTCTTGACTTGACATACAGACCCTCTTATATGTACAAAATAAATTTGGCGAAAATAATTTCTGTGCTCACTCCTTGTACCCAATCACTGAAGCTCCCCAGAAATAGTTCACATGCCATAATCTCTCAAATCACATAAGCAAGATCGCAATAGGCAATTGGGATTTGTGTCTACCTGTGTTCTTAATCTAGAATTGAGAAGGTTCGGAGGTCGCCATTGTGTCTCTATCCCATTCTTAAGCCCGCAACTCTTTAAGAGAAGAAGGAAAGGAAGCCGTCAAAAACTCGTGAGAGGATGCACTCAGGGATAACCCGTGGTTGAGCATGTTGATGAACCAAAATAATGAGTTCACCATGTTCTTTATTTGAGCAGCTGGGGTCCGTTCCCCAAAGAGAAGAAACCTGGATTCACCCCTGTTCAGAAGTCCTCAGGAGCGTGAAGACCCTCAGCAGTTCCTCCTGCGCACTGTACTCTCGTAGGGACTGCAACATCGTGAGCACCTGGGGGTCCCACCCGGGCCCCGCACCTGGCCCCGCTGGGGCCACCGGGCACAGAGCAGCTTCTGGGAGGTCAATTCTGAGGACAGTTGGATGCCCTGAGGGCAGATGCGTCTCGCTTCATATTGCTTAGTGTTCTCAAAGTCCATCTGTGCAGTCGCACTGCGGCATCTGGTGTTTGCTCTGTTTGCACAGTTAGCTGCAGGACACGCACACCCAGTTGAGGAAGCTCGTGAGTTACACACAGAGAACCATAAGATCCGAGGGCCACGAGTGTGTTCAAAGGCAGGACACAGCTGCTGGGGGCGCTGCCAGCTCACCTGAGCAGAAACCGACCCATCCGTCGAGCCGAACCGCCCACACCCTCAGCGTGGCCTCACCGTGTCCAGAAGGGTTAGCAGCTCATGTGGCTTTATTCCCAGAAAGATGGATGCCTTTAAGACCAAGCAAATCGACCGCCGGTGCCTCCCCGGCCACCTCCCCACACAGGCAGACCCTTCCCACGAGCCCTCCCCCCAACACCCGGAAATGGTCAATAACTTACAAGGCTGGTGCTGCAGATTTTTTTTAAATTAAATATGTCACAAATATATTCTCAAACATCTTTATCATTTTAGATTTCTTTTTTCTTTTTCTTTCTTTTTCACGTCTTGGCTTTGTTTGGTCTGGAGAGACGCACTCTCACTCCAAACTGCCCCCTCGGCTCCTGGAAAATACTTTTTCACCAAAGTTAAGGGAGAGAAGACTCCTGAGATTCTATGGGGCACGAGACTCTGTCAAGCGCACAGTCTTCCCGGTAAAGAAGGAAGGAAGGAGGAGGCGCAGATCAGGGGCTCCCAGGCCCCTGGGGTGCAGAAACTGCATTCTTCCATGCATTTGAAAGAACAAACACTGCTCTGTTCTTTCCATTCCCAACGTCACCTCTGGTGTAAATCCATATTCTGAAGAATGGTCTGCAAGCCTTTCTGAAGGGACTCCATTCTACACACACCGCTTACATACCATCAGAATTTCCCCATTCCCCGCCAGCAACAGAATTTCTGAATAGCCGGAGGTGTCAAGGACTTGCCAAGTGGCATCCAAAAGACATTCAACCCTTAACTTCTACTCACCACAAAGTAGAAAAATGACTATTGTTGGGACGACAGCACATCCAATCACTGACCTGGACAGCCTAGCACGGGCCGTGCTCTAATGGGGTTCCTGCCCACTGACCGATGTTATAGCAGCTACAGAGAAATACTTCCCAACCCAACAAACACATTTTGTGGCGGACTGTCCGCTCTGGTGGAAGACAGTGGAAGATCTGCCCATCAGTTGGCAGCAATCTCTGATGATCACAAGATTGTATGTGCACATCATTAAATCATTTCATTTTCTCTCAGTTGCGCTCAGTTCTATCCAAGAGAACCAGCAGCATTTCTCTCTTCCTACTAACTTGAAATTTTGGGAAACATCCCGGACAGGTCCCAGAATACGAACATTTCCAGACGTGTGTTTGACATCACCCGTCCAGGGAGACAGTAACATGTTTGGTATTCTTCTCCCGGAAGAAGAGACTAGGACCGTGCATTTCGCCACATTCATGAGAAGGGTTTTGATAATAGTGAGACAGGTTTAAAAGCAGACAACAAGAAAGCGTCAACCTGAGCTGGCTTTGTTGCATTTTGGGGAAACCCATCACTGCAACCCCCCAGGGCAATCATGATTTTCCAGGACTGAAGTTCTATTGTTATAGAATCAACACTGTCGGATGCCACAGGAGGCTTGTGACCCAACGGCTGCTCACTCTCATTACCGTAGCAGCAGAGACAGCTAAATGACGTTCACGAAATCCCGAATATGCAGGGTGGGCCCAGCTCTCCACCGTACCTCTCCAGGGCAAGCAGACAAAGGTGCGTCTACGGAGGCATGCCCGAAAGTGTGGCCAGGGCAGTGAGGTCCTGTGGGTATGGCAACAGCCCTGCTGGCTCGGCCCACTTGCACATGGCTTCTCAAAGCCCCATCAAGTCAAACAGCACTAGCTTTAAATCAACCAAACCACAATACAGCAGTCCAAGGCTTTGTTGCTAAAAAATATACTCAGCACACCGGTGGATTTGAGATTGAGGTTTTTTTCAACGTGACCCCTTCCCACTGGGAGACACGACATCGGGTGTTTTTGTGTAAGATGTCTGTGAGTGTGACTTGTTCTGCCACCAGATAAGCATCTGAGCCTGAAAGGAGTGGAAATAAAGCAGGAAGAATTCAGGGCACCTTAGTGCTCACTTAGGGGGAATGCAGTGGACACTGGGGATTCTGGCTCTGCAGATAAGCGCGGGTGATGGAGTGCCCCCTCCTCACTCAGGGGGGATAGTTCAGGCCTGAACACCCCACATAGCAGATGCCCTGAAACTCGGATCACGTTTAGGGAGCATGCTGTCAATGGACAGAGGATGTTATTTGTTTAAGATTAAATTCAGAGAAAAAAATTATCAGCAAGAAAAAGGATCTATGCTCCTATGAAGGCCACCTTGATCCCAGTGCCCTTCCTCAAAATTCTTACTGGTCCCTGGCATTCGGAATCAGCCGGTCTGGATTTCCCAGTTCAAACTGGATCCGGGCAGAATTCTGAAGTCTCCAAGGTGTCCGTTATCAAACCACATCCTAACGGTACCCTGAGGTAGTCTGTGCTGGAAAAAAAAAATCATTGCCCCGCATTCACCTGTTTATTTATTTTTTGATAAAAATTTACACTCCATTTTTTACGAAAGTGATTTTTACAGTGATTTTTTTATATATTAAAATAAATAATTTTCCCCTAATATAAGAAAAACCTTTCTAAATTAGAAAAATGTGAAAGTTCCTGCGAGTGTCATATACAGCCACTACAAATTTCCTATGAAAAAGAACAAAATACCTAGATCTACGTGTTTTTTCTTGACTTGACATACAGACCCTCTTATATGTACAAAATAAATTTGGCGAAAATAATTTCTGTGCTCACTCCTTGTACCCAATCACTGAAGCTCCCCAGAAATAGTTCACATGCCATAATCTCTCAAATCACATAAGCAAGATCGCAATAGGCAATTGGGATTTGTGTCTACCTGTGTTCTTAATCTAGAATTGAGAAGGTTCGGAGGTCGCCATTGTGTCTCTATCCCATTCTTAAGCCCGCAACTCTTTAAGAGAAGAAGGAAAGGAAGCCGTCAAAAACTCGTGAGAGGATGCACTCAGGGATAACCCGTGGTTGAGCATGTTGATGAACCAAAATAATGAGTTCACCATGTTCTTTATTTGAGCAGCTGGGGTCCGTTCCCCAAAGAGAAGAAACCTGGATTCACCCCTGTTCAGAAGTCCTCAGGAGCGTGAAGACCCTCAGCAGTTCCTCCTGCGCACTGTACTCTCGTAGGGACTGCAACATCGTGAGCACCTGGGGGTCCCACCCGGGCCCCGCACCTGGCCCCGCTGGGGCCACCGGGCACAGAGCAGGTTCTGGGAGGTCAATTCTGAGGACAGTTGGATGCCCTGAGGGCAGATGCGTCTCGCTTCATATTGCTTAGTGTTCTCAAAGTCCATCTGTGCAGTCGCACTGCGGCATCTGGTGTTTGCTCTGTTTGCACAGTTAGCTGCAGGACACGCACACCCAGTTGAGGAAGCTCGTGAGTTACACACAGAGAACCATAAGATCCGAGGGCCACGAGTGTGTTCAAAGGCAGGACACAGCTGCTGGGGGCGCTGCCAGCTCACCTGAGCAGAAACCGACCCATCCGTCGAGCCGAACCGCCCACACCCTCAGCGTGGCCTCACCGTGTCCAGAAGGGTTAGCAGCTCATGTGGCTTTATTCCCAGAAAGATGGATGCCTTTAAGACCAAGCAAATCGACCGCCGGTGCCTCCCCGGCCACCTCCCCACACAGGCAGACCCTTCCCACGAGCCCTCCCCCCAACACCCGGAAATGGTCAATAACTTACAAGGCTGGTGCTGCAGATTTTTTTTAAATTAAATATGTCACAAATATATTCTCAAACATCTTTATCATTTTAGATTTCTTTTTTCTTTTTCTTTCTTTTTCACGTCTTGGCTTTGTTTGGTCTGGAGAGACGCACTCTCACTCCAAACTGCCCCCTCGGCTCCTGGAAAATACTTTTTCACCAAAGTTAAGGGAGAGAAGACTCCTGAGATTCTATGGGGCACGAGACTCTGTCAAGCGCACAGTCTTCCCGGTAAAGAAGGAAGGAAGGAGGAGGCGCAGATCAGGGGCTCCCAGGCCCCTGGGGTGCAGACCCTCCAACGGGCCGATCCCCAAAGCGTGAGCTCAGCATGAATGCCTTCCGCACACACACGCGCACGCACACACACACACACCCTAGCCGTGTCTAACCTGGACGCACGCACGCGTACACACGTGAGCCACACACCGGGGCTGCAGATCCTTATCAAAAGTACAAAAGCAGCAGCTATTGGTCAATTTGAGGAACTGATTTTGTGAAGAAAAACCAAACCAAACCAAAACAAAAAAAATCCTTCCACCTGGATGAGAAAAACCTTCCCCAAAGCCCACTCCGTAAAGCTTGGAATTCTACTGCAACAGGAGTCTGTTTTCTTTCAAACTTCTGTTCCACAAACAAGTTTTATGCTTTCTGCTGTAGCTCAGACACCAGCAAAGAAAAAAAAAATAATAATAATAACTTTGTAAAAACAGGTGTTTTTTTTTCCCATCTCCTAGGGAAAAAAATAATAATAATAACATCCTGGATTGAAACTGCAGCCGTCGGAAAGGAGAGCCGCCCAGGAACTCCTTCCCCTCTGGGATCACAGCTCGGTTCTCTGCGGACGCGACCCTCTGGCAATTCCCACAGACGTGCTGCAAGTCGTAAGCAGAACAGACGTGGACAGACACGCTCTCCTCGGCTCTGTGTGACACGGAGGCAGATGCGTGGGAAGATCCTGAGTTTGCTGGAGACCTTTCAACCCGAGGAACAGGACCATGGAACCCCGCCCCGAGGCAGGGGCTGTTAGGAAGGGCTGGACCGCGGCAGAGTCAGAATCCGGCCATTTTTCTTGCCCCCGTTCATGTGGGTGTAGGGGATGTGCTCCTCATAGTTCCTCTTGAGACCCAGGGAGGCCCCTCCGTCCCGGCCCCCGGCCTCCTCCCTCTGCGAGTGTGAGGCCCGATCCAGGGGGACGCTCTCCATGTCCTCAAACTCCATCTCCAGCTCCTCACTCTCGGGCGCCTTGTTCTCCTCGCTGTGGAAGAAGGAAACTTCTGGAAAGCTGGGGTGCAGGTCGTCCTTGAGCAGGTCCACGATCTCCAGGAAGGTCGGTCGCATCTTGGGATTAAACTGCCAGCACATGTGCATCAGGTCGGTGCTGAGGGACAGAGGGATACATCGGGGGTGAGTCTGGGTGGGGGGGGGGTGTCCGGCCCCACGGCCCCTGTCCACCCCTCACCCCCACGGCCCAACACCCACGGATGACAAGGGCAGACATCAGAGGGCAGGTAGCAGGCAAGGCAATGCCATCGGTGCTGAAAGACGGTTTTGGAAAGAGAGCCCAGGGGGGCTGCCTCATTCCAAAGCCAGACCCAGAAAGGGCCTCTCCTGATGCTGCCACGTGTTGAACACAGTTCGTCCTTTCATACATTGCTGCATTTCTCCCCCATTTTGATGCATTTCATAAGTTTCACAAATTCCTACCTAAGGCTGCCTGGACAGGCTTCCCTGTGCCCACCAGCAATCTTTCTAGGTTGAAGGATCCTGAAGGGATCTGATGGCTGCGGCTGTGTGGACTGAATCTAGAGGGCCGATCCTCTAGCCTTTACCCTCTGGAGGGTGGCAGGAAGGGGTTACAATTTTCCTTGGCCAAGAGCACACAGGCCAGGAGCTGAAGGCATGGGATGTCCAATTTACCCCTTCCCTTCCCCACTGTAACTTCTTGGGCATGGGTTGGCCAACTTCCACCCCTGGCTCAAACCCGGCCCCTGGAGTGTTTTTGTAAATAAAGTTTTATTGGCACACAGCCACACCCATTTGTTTATGTATTGTCCATGGCTGCCTTTGGCCTACATAGCAGAGTTGAGTAGCTGCCACAGAAAGCCATATGGCCTACAAAGCTAAAAATATTTACAATATGGTCCCTTACAGAGAAGTTTATAGATCCCTGACCCCTAGGGCCTACTTAATTCCTTGGTGCTGTATCTACAGATGGCTATAATAGGCATGGTTAGGAAACGACCTTCATAAAGCAACATTTAGAAATACTTTGCTGCTAGTTTCTAAACTATGCTTTGTACTTTTTTCCATATGATGTCTCCTTAAGCTAGGTTTTCTAAATTGATGTCTAATGCTTTTGGGGATAAAGCAACAAAATGGCCACATTTTTATGTGGGTTTTTCAGGAGGTCAAATTCTTTTCTTAAGAAACACTGATAAAGAACTTTATGTGTAATAAGTGCAAAACACCCAAAAATATGGAGAAAATACAGCTTGCACACAACTCTCCTTCAGATATAACCTCTTGTCTTTTCTATTTGAAGTCATTTGGAAATATAATATGTAGAGTCAACCCGTGAACAATGCTGGGATTGGCAGTGCCCGTCCTCATGGAATAAAAAATTTGAGTGTAACTTTTGATTCTCCCAAAACTTAACACCTTAACACCTAATAGCCTACTGTTGACTTTATGATACTAAATGATAAAACAGACCAGTATCTACATATACTTTATGCACTCATGACATATCTAACTTCTTCTTAATTTTTTTGGTATTTCTAGGCTATGCTGTTTGTCTGCGAGTTTTTCCAAATTGTCACAAGTCCCCCCCAAAATTTCCACTGTATTTATTGAAAAAAGCCCACATGTAGGTGGGCTAATGTAACAACATTGTTGTTCAAAGGTCATATGTACATGCTTTTTCCACTGACTATTTTAACATAGGCTCATCCATTGAGTCACAAAACATTTTTATAAGCATCATTTGAAATTTCAGTTGCTACCTCCTATTAATTTATCAGCTTACTTGGCAGTTTTCATATTGCTGGAAAGCGAGATCTCAATTTGAGACTGAATAACATTGCTCTGAGTAGCTATTATAAGGGGGAGAAGAATGCCATTTAGCTGCGCCATTGCTGACACTGAGTATTAGAATTCTTCTTCCTTCCTGCCTTTTGCTAATTTAGGAAGAGCACTTCCCTTTCCTTCATATTTATTGGATTATTAGTGAAATTGGACAATTTTGCAAGAGTTTAATGTCCTGCATGAGTGTTGTCTGTTTGGCCCTATCACAACAATCTAAAACTAAACTTTGGGGGTGTAGAACACATATGCCTGACCAAAAAAAATTCTTTTTTAATGTTTAAACTTAGAGATTTTTTTTCCTGTTTTATTGATACATAATTGACATCCCGTATTGGGATAGTTCCCCTGAGGCAACGTTAAGTGTATGAAGAATAGACAGTTAAACAAGTGTCCCAGCCTTGCTCCCCCGTTTCCTTCTTGCATGGTAACAACTGCTGTGGGGTGTCTTGTACAACCTTCCAAAGACATGACAGGCAAGAAGGCATCCAGGTAAAAATATGATATGCATACCCAAGCATGCGTGTAGGCATAGGACGTGCAAACACAGGTGTGCATGCAAAGATACAATTTGCAAACAAGTGTGCATATAGGCATATGACATGTAAACACAGCTGTGCATGCAAAGATACAATGTGCAAACCAAGCATGCATGCACACAGGCAAAGTGCAAACCCAAATGCATGTAGACATATGACATGCAAACACAAGTGTGCAAGGCAATGTCTTTTGAATGAACACCCCATATACTGTGCCCCCTTATACACTTACACTCTCTCTGGACAATTGTCAGGTTGATCCAGATACCCTCCATCCATGACAAATTTCAACACCTGTTCATTAGACAAGCCTTGGTAAGGCTGTTCTGCCAAGCTGGTGATTTCCCAAAGGACCACGCCGAAGGACCTGCCAACAACAGTTGGGTATAGTAACAAAGAAGCCATTAACATGGATGCACGTGCACACGCACGCATACACACACACACACACACACACATACACACCTTCTTGGCTTACTAGAATCTGGTTGGCCAGTTAATTAAATAATTCATGCCGCATTCAGAAATGCTTATGTTAGTCTCCATCAGAATGTAAGCAGCCATGCAAAGGTCCTCAGACGTGAGGTTCCCTTCATTTTCTTGATGGAGAGGCCCCGAGGAAGGCAGTTTTAACTGCCCCTCTTGCCAGTCACACCAGTGGAGCATCCTGGAATGCAAGCCTTGTATTCTGTCTGCTGATCCGACCCGCGCACAACTCACCACATGTCAGAAGAAGTGGTAAAGACCCCATCCTTCAGGGACTCTGGGGCCATCCACCGCACGGGGAGCAGACCCTTGCCCCCTTTCCGGTAGTAATCCGTTTCGTAGATGTCCCTGGTCATGCCAAAGTCTGACAAGGAACAAAGCACATGCTCTTCGCCTTCAGCCTGTGGCCCAGAGGGACTCACCTGCCCCAGGTGTGTGCTCACCTGCCCCAACGGCCCAGCTGCCCAGCTCAAAACCCACGGTTGGATTCCCCTCTGACCACCTCCCTTTCCTCACGACCCATATCCAAGACCACAGCGAGTCCTGCCCACCCTCCCTCCACATCCCTCTCTAACCCATCTATTCCTCCCCGTTGTCCTGCCCTGCCCCTCTGCCCAGCCCACCACCACCTCTCAGCTGCAGAACCCCCTCCATCCTGACTCTGATGGCCCATCACCCAAAAGAAGCCACATAAATAGGCACTTCCTGCTTCCCATTATTGACAGAGGATAAGGTCTTTGGAGATTATAAATAGGATCCCATCACTTCCTGCTTCCCTTGCTAATGTAGGATAAGGTCTTTGGGGATCACAAATAGTATTACATGACTTCCTGCTTCCCATTGGGTACATACCATGCCTTGCAAGGCTATTCCAGGTCTGGTTCCTGCCTGTCTCCCTAACCTCACATCTACTACTGCTCTGCTCTAAAATACACTCACTTTATTCTCACCACATCCACCTCAGGGCCTTTGCACATGCTGTCAGCCCCAACCCAGGATGCTGTTATTCAGGTCAACTTCTAGAGTCCTCACTGAAATGTTGCCTGCCTGCCAAGGATTGGGCCTTTCCTCCCTATCAGGGATCTCTTTTACCTTCTTCAGTGTGCTCTGCCAGGTCTCTGGTATCTTGTTTATACATGTGTTAACTATTTTATTGTTCATCAGAACAGCTCTGTCCACCAGAACTTTCTGTCCTGATGCACCTGGTCTATTTCCTCACTGTCCAATGTGACAGCTGCTAGGCTCAAGGTGGCTACTGATCACCTCAAATGTGGCCACAGCAACTGAAAGACTGGATTTTTAATCTCACTAGTAAAAAATAAATGTAATTTTACCAGTAAAAAAAATGTAAGGTAATTTAAATGTAAATTAAAATTGACCCCACGTGGCCAGTGGCTACCACGCCAGATGGTGCAAATAAAAACTGTAAGCTGTGCAGGGGTAGAAAAATCTTATGGTGACTTACGCATTATCACACATTGTAGCGCTTACCACGGGCGCTTGCGCATACAAGGTACACAAATATTATTTAAGGAAGTGAGTCAGTGAAATGCAATTAAATTACAGTTTGAGGATCAGGCCCCCACCCCAAATCCTGCCCCTTCACACTGCTGCGAGAGATTTAATTGCTCGTTAGAAACTGATTCCAAAATCAAACTGGGCCTGCATCATACATTTCGAAGCAGATGGCCAGACCAACCTCCGATTTTGACGGTGAAATCGTGGGCAACCATGCAGTTCCGAGCGGCGAGGTCCCGGTGCACAAACTTCTTGGCGTTCAGGTAGGCCATGCCGTCGGCAATCTCCGCCGCCATCTGAATCATCTCTTGCAGGGTAGGAGGGGGGCGGCCGGGGTTATTCTGAAGTGGAAATGTGGGGTTGCGTTCAGCACCACTGGGGCCGAGGGCCAGAGCGGGGGAGTGGGGGAGCCCTGCTGGGGACCAAGGGGCAGCTCACCTCAGCCTCTGGCCGCAGGGAACGGAGATAACTCTTCAGATCCCCATGAGCCATCAGCTCCATCACCACCAGTGTCGGCTGGCCCTTGGACACCACCCCCAGAAGGCGGACCTGAAGGGTAAGCATGGGGGGTCTTGGGTGAGGGTCTGTGGGAAGCATTGGACTCCCTGAGGTCTCCCCAGTTGTGGCCAGCCCTTCTCCCTGGGGGGAGTGTAGCTCAAATGCCAAGGTCACCACCTTGCTGGAACGGGGGAGGTGGGGGAAGGAGGATGAACCCAAGACTCACAACCTTGGGGGGGTCAGGCAGCAGACAGACCCGCCCACATACAGCCGCGTTCCCGGGCACGTCCTACCGACCCTTGTCCCAGGCAACCCTCAGCCACCTCCGTGAGGTCTCCGAGCATAAGAGGCAAGCTCCTGCCTCCAAGCCTTTGCTGTAGCTGTTCCCTCTGCTGAGCCTCTGTTCCCCATGTCCCCACAGCTCAGTCCCTCCACCCTGGAGTCTTGGCTCAAATACACGCTCCCCACCCCTGAGTCCCCAGTCCCCTGACTCCGCTCTGCTGCTCCGACTTGCCAGAACATCACCTCCTGACGAGGGAGGTCCCCTAAAGTGCTGCCTGATTAACATACTGGGTTTAGAGCCGGCCACCGCCACAGAAAGAGTCTGTCCCTAACTCGCGGGGGCACAGGGGCACTACCCTGGGTTCAAGGGTGACAAGGAACGAGGAAGAGGGAGGGGACAGAGAATCCTGGGAAGTGATGGGGCAGCAGCTCAGGCGAGCCGGGAGCGAGTGGGATTGGAGAGGATACAGAGGGGGGCAGGGACGGGATGGGGCCCCCACCCAGTGCCCCCTGCTCTGTGCAGCAGGAGGTGGCGCTGGAACAAGGGCTGCGGCCTGAAGGGTGCATCTCTCTGCTTCCCAGCCAACGCGGGACTCACCACGTGGTGGCAGGTGAAGCCCTTCATGACCGAGGCCTCGTTGAGAAACTCGATCCTCTCCCGCAGGCTGGCGGACTCGTTGACGGTCTTGACGGCCACGCGGGTCTCCGCCTCGCCCTTGACGATGTCCCGGGCGTTGCCCTCGTACACCATGCCGAAGGAGCCCTGCCCCAGCTCCCGGAGGAGGGTGATCTTCTCCCGGGGCACCTCCCACTCGTCCGGCACGTACACAGAGCAGGGAAACACTACCTCTCACTTATCTACACAGCATCCTCGGCGGATCCCCTGTGGGGTTCCCCGCCGCCTCCCACCTGACCCCCTTTGCCAACATTCATTGAGTGACTTTTGTGAGCCAGGCTCTGGGCACAGAGGCAAGAACATCAGGACAGGCATGGGCCAGGCCAGCTGCACCCTCCCCGGTTCTGTCTGATCCAGAACTCGCTGCTGAATCACGCTCCTTCCCACCCGTGCCTCTTCTCTGCAAAGTGCCCACGGGGTGCAGGACCTCCCCGGGAGTGGTACTCACCATCACTGGCACTGAGGTACTCGGGGTTTGAGGATGCATACAGCGGTCCCAGTGGCCCATCTGGCTGCCTGGAAGAGGAAAAGGGAGGCATTCCAGCTTGACAGTCACAGGGGACTCGGCAGGGCACCAGCAGGAGGCTACAAGCCTCACCAATACAAAAGGCAACCCTTATGGGCAGCATCCTCGTGATCCGGGGTACCATCTGGGGCGCACTGCAGGACCCTGATGTTTTGAATACAAGCCCATCAGATGGCCACCTAAGCACACCCACAGGACCACTTGCCCCGTCATCTGTAATTTACGGTTGTCTGTGTAACCCCTAAAAGCCACTCACCCACTGCTGTTCTAGAACCTTCTCCTTCAGCTTGTGAGAAAAGACTCTGTTCACTTTTCAGGAAATCAGCATGCACGTTGTTAATTACAGCTCTGTCTATGATCCTACTGTATCTATAATCAGCTCTTCTGGGGCTATTTACATTAGCTCGTGTATTTACAGTGCGGTATCCTATGTCGCCAACACTACAGAATGGTGACTGCATGTTTCTTCCTGACACTACGATCAGCGACCTTGTGTGTGTAGCTTCAAACCGGCCAAAGTAGGAGTATTTGCACCTCAGAACAGGCAGATGTCACAAACCAACACGGGTCGGTTTATTGTTCCGCTGTCTGTCCAGGCTTGGGAAAGTGAAGGCAAGAAGGTATGTAATGCAGATCAACCTTAAACGTGCATCGTCTCCACAGCTATGACATTGCAAATGGCATAAAACAAACTGAGATGGTGTTCTTCTCGCAGTTAAGAATTACTATCTGATTCAGTGAAGTCCCTCCTACCCTTGATGACCACGCAAAGCCTTATTTCACTTTTGTCTTACTCTTTACTGTAAACAAAATATCAGTAAACATTCACGTCGGAACTACACTGATTCATCAGTCGCAACCACAGGTTGACAAAAGACACCTTTGTATCTTGCGGGGGAAAAATCGATGAAAACCTTTGGCAAGAACCAACAGGCTAGAGGAATTTATGATAAAAACTAGCCTATATTGTATTACAATCATTATCTGTAAATTGCATGTCACACACATCCTTTATATCAGCAAAATATATAATAAACTTAGCCAGCACTCTCTTTATATCTAGGCAACCTTGTTTTTCTGGAGAGCTGGCTGTTAACCATTTACTGGGACATACCCCACTCACCTCTTCCTCAGGAACAGATAAATGCTTCCGATCACAACACTGAAGAGGAACACAAAGATGAGAGGACCGATGATGATTTTTGCAATGTTGGATGGGACATCTACTGAAATAAAATAAGAAAATAAAGGTTTCCCATCAGAATGTGTTCACATTCCGAATCACATCCACGTCTATCTATAGCCATGGGCCACACACACTCGTTGTTCCCGGATCTCTGCTCGTCTCCAGCAGGCCTGAAATGTTCCGTGGGGCTCAGGGTCAGGCTCAGAGGTCTGTATTCTGGAAGCACACCCCTGGCCCCCCAGACCACTGCCCACGACCAGCCGCCTCCCTTTCCCAGAGCAGGCAGCCCAGACCGTCAGCTAGGGCCCCACGCTCAGAAGGGCCTTGTTCCCAGTTGAATGCTTGAGAGTCTTAATTTTTAAACAAGGAGCCCGGCATTTCCAGTTTGCATGGGGCCTTGCAAATGAAACAGCCAATCAATCCCACAGAACCTCTGGCAGATGAAAAACTCACCAGGAGGTGCCCTGTGCGTGTGTGTGAGGGGGTTCTCCTCCCCAAAGCACCCTTTTTAAACGCACTAAAGAAATGTTACATAGCCTCTTATTTTCAAAATTCACATGCAAGACTGAGCTGTCTGCAAATGACAAACACACCCGTGAATTCAGACTCTTCCAAGCCAAGGATAAAAATGGCTTTTAAGAAATCAGGGAAGAAAGCTGGTTCTTTAGATTTTTAATATAAATAGCAGTTTCCTGGATACTCAGTAAAATGATGGGCACTGTATGAAGGGCTTGGTGTGACTAGTCTTATTTAACCATCACCTAATCCAAGACGGGAGGTACAATGGTTAACACCAGTTAATGGAGGGGGAAACAGGCTCAGAGGGGTGAGGGGTCTGCCTGATTCCCAGAGCGGATCCACCCAGCCCAGCAGTCCGAGTGAGTTTTTGACCACCGCCGCACGCTGCCTTTGGGGGCCAGCTCTGCCCTGGGGGCCCGTCTTCCTGCACCTCCCTGAATTAACAGCAAAGCGCCTTATTCCAGTCCTGGGGCTCCTGGCACACAGAAAGTCTCTGTCAATATTTAATGACTGAACAGAACATGAGAAATGGAAACCACTGGGTCCCATGTGGCTGTTTACTATGTAAAGAAGGTCCACCCCTTCTTCCCTTCTTCCCTTGGAGCTGGGAGTGGTCAGGACTCAGCCTGGGTCAGGGCAGATGCGAACAGCCACACAGCACGCCGCCCCAGTCTCTGCTTCCCAGACCCCCCGACCCAGCTCTCTCCTCAGAGCCCAGTGGCCAGCAGAACTAATAAGGGAGGCTTCCCGGATGTACAGTTTGAGAATTTCTTCTTGCTCAAGAATTGTGACACTTACTCTGAGTTACACAAGGACAAGGGTCAGTCCCTGAGTGAGGGCCTCTTTAGATTTTGCACCTTGGGTGTCTTGCCTGCCTCCCTGTTATATAATAAAGATTTTTTTTTTAAGTGATCTAATGTGTTTAACTTGAATTCTCCAGTCTTTCTGCAATTGTTCGTAAGGCTGGGCTGGATCTCCCTGAACATGTATCTTTCTTGGACATCTCTGACCATTTCCTTAGGATAAATTTCTAGAACCGGAACTGCAGGCTCACGCAGTAAGAGCCTTTATAGAGGTTTTGATATGTATGACTAAATGACTGTTTTAGCACTCTCCGACCACGAAAAACAATGTCTGTGCTTTTGGAAGACAGTGAAGTGCTGTCAATAAAAAGCAGAAACAAACAAAAAACCCTTGCCAATTTGATATGTTACAAATTGCATGTTGTTTTAATTTGCTTTTTTTTTTTTCAGTGTGGGTTTGAGGGGTGGACCTTTTTTCTTATGTTTTCTTTTACATTCCTCTTTAAATTGGCCGTTTATGTTCTTTACTTATTCTTGTGTTCGGACATACCTCTTTACTCTCATATACACTCTCTGTTCATTTCGTTTTAAGGATATCAGCTCTTTGTCGACGATGTTGCAGAGATTTTTCCCACTGAGCTATTTTTCCTTAAGAGTTTTATTCTGTTATCGATGGGCACCCCTGGAACACACCTAAGGGACAAGCTGACCCTGCATGGAGGCTGGTCACCAGAAAACCACGAGCAATGGTTTGCTCAGTTGTGCCTAGGTAATGAAACCCCAGTAAACATCGTGGATACTGAGGCTCAGAGGAGCTTCCTGGCTGGTGGACACGTTGATATGTCTGATTCCATAGGGGTACCCTCCTGCCCTTCTCCAATGCGTGTCTTCATTTGGGTGGTCCTGATCTATATCCTTTATAATATAATTATCATCATAATACAGCACTTTTCTGAGCTCTGTGAGCTAATACAGCAAATGACTGAATCTGAAAGGGTATTGCCAGGTGGTCAAAGTACAGGTGGCCTGGCGAACCGCAAAACTTGCAACTGGCGTCTGCAGTAAGGACAGACTGGTTGAGGTCCATGCTTTTGATCTTATGGGGTCCGTGCTCACTCTGGTGGGTAGTGTCAGAATGGTGGTAGGGTATGTATACCCAGTGGGGTCAGAACGTTCATCCCAGTGCTGACCCTGAGCAGATCCATCCCAAAAAGAATCACGACCCACTTTCCACACTCCCACAGTGCCCAGTATGTGAAAATACCACCAAGCAGAAGAGAGCCATGTTACCCCTCCACCCAAACTCCTGCCCCTCCTGGTCTAGAATGTCTCCTCGCCAGGTCATTTCTGTTTACTTGTTCAAGTGTCTAAGTTCCCACCCCATGTGGAACTAAATATTTTCTTTTGTCCCCACTTGTACATTCTACCAGGTCAGCCAGGAGGTCACCACCTCCAGGAAGCACTCCATGACCAGCTCAGCCTTCTCCACCTCTCCCTACCCTACTGGCCACAGTGTGCCCAGCTTGTCCAGTGGCAGGACTTATGGCCTGCACGTTGAGGGAAACACCCAGGGCTGAGTAGGTAAGTCCCAACACCCGCCCATGGGGGGAACACAGCCCATCTAAAAATAAAGATGGGGACACTAGTAACAGGAGCTATTATGTGCATCAGACATGCCCTGTGCCAGCTACTTGACATTCACAATGTCGCTGAAACCTCCCTTCACCTCGAGAGGTGGTCCTACTGTTCTCCCCATGGTCAGATGAAGACGTACAGGCTCAGAAAAGGCAAGCACAACACCCTGGTCACACAGCAGCAGCCAAACAACCCAGGGCTCAAGTCCAAGTCCAGCAGGGAGCCACCACACTACCCTAACCATCCTATGAAATGTTCTGCCGTGCCCAGCGCCACGCACAGACCCAACAGTCAAAGCTGCCGTGCAGACTTACAATAGTCGGTCACATAGAAATAGGTGGCTTCCGTCCAGGAGCCGTTGCCCGCCAGGGAGGTGGCCCGGACGCGCACGCTGTAATTCCCTGGGGGCAGCCCTCGCAGCCTGCAGCCCCGCTCCAGAGCGAAATGCCTCCGGGACACGCAGAGGTGCAGCTCCTGGAAGACAAGGGGGTGAGACAGGGGAGGTGGGGAGGCTGTACATCTGGGAGCATCACCCCCGACCAGGACTGTCACAGACAGGATGGCTCAGGAAGTAAGGCACAGCCAGAGCGCAGCACGCAAGCGGCTTGGAGACTCACGGAATTTTAGAACCTTAGCTCTATGGATAAGGAGCTAGACACAGATGAGATCATGACAGATTACAGCCAACTCTTCCCAAACCACACGCTGAGTGTTCAACCTGCGTTATCCCATTTCATTCTTACGACAACCTGATCAGGAACTTGACCACATATTGGGCAAGGGCACGGAAGCTAAGGGCAGAGATTGGCAAACTTTTGCTGTGAAGGACCAGAAAGTAAATATTCTCAGCTTCGAGGGCCTGAACAGTCACTGTCGCAGGCTCAACTCTACCATTTTAACACGAAAGCAGCCAGAGACGGCTCTGAATCTGGAACACGAGCCAATGACAGGTGTGACTGTGTGTCCGTGAGACGCTGTGGACGCTGAAAGCTGAACTTCACATAAATGTACATGTGCCTCTTCTTTTGATATGTTTTTTCTTTCCAGCCACTTTAAGACGTGAAAGCAATTCTTAGCTCTCAGGTTCTACAAAAATGCGTACAAAAGCAGTTTGCTGACCCGATTGAGGACACAAAATGGTTTGCTGGAGATCTTACTGCTTTTGAGTGGCAGGGCCAGCCCTTGAACTCTGGACCATTTGGACCCAAAATTTCTTGAAACCCCTGGGGGACATTCTCATCAAGCCTCCAGAAAGTCCAAGAAGGACAGCAAAGAAGCGACCCCATCGCCAAAGTCGAATTTCAAATCAAATTTTGATCGAGTTTTATAGAATACTCTCTAGCCTTTGGTGGGAGGTCTTTTTATTTTTTTCTCTCTCTCATTTGCTAGTTTAAAAGCCAAAAGCACCTCTAGGTGCATGCATCACTTTCGCATTTCTCTTGCCTTGAACTTTGCATTAGAATCATTGGTCCCTTACCCCTTCCCCTCCCCGCTGGGAGACCCTGACCCCGGGGCACCACCCCGGCCCTAGAAAGAGCATCCATTTTTAATTTTCATGTGCCCTTATCTTTTGCTTCCGTATCTCTTGTGGTTTTGAGCTTTTTCTTTCTTGTGGGCACAAACTTGTATGTAATTGGCTTCTTCAGTGTTGATCAGGTTTCCTGCTTTCGCTCTTTGGTGTCTATGGGGAGAGATCCATCAGGGTCCGGAACCTTCTGTCACACTCCCTGCCTGGTCCCCACCGCCCAAGATGTCCAGGAAGCATGGCCACCACAGAAGGACGCGTTTCCCCTCTGACCTGGGTAGCAGCTTACCTTTGGTTTCTATACTTGCTTATTTGTCTCCTATTTGGTGACTCACCCAACTTGGAAGAAACTTTGGACTGGAGATCCCCACCCTTGCCACCAGCCCGATTTGTTTTCTTGCTGTTATTGTCACATGATAAGCCCCAGAGTTCTTACCACCTCTTTCTCTCCCCACCCAGATTTTCCAGTCCAGTTCTCTGCATGCGCTATTAGCTCAGAGGTGTGTGGGAAAGTTTTCAAACTTTGGACCCATGCTTGCAGGTTTCACGGTCTTATTTCCCTGTGGGCCTCACAAGCTAATAAGCGTACGCGTTTGTCTCTATTTCCGTGTTGATCCCTGGGGCGTGTATGCTTTACTTTTTTTTCCCTGTCTTTTATCAGAGATTTACGTAGATCCACACTCTTTTAAGAATGGTAAAAGAAATCAAATGAAATCAAATCCAAAGCTGTACCATGGGAAGAAAAGAGTCCTTAAATCTGTCCTGAAGAAAATATACCCAACAGTGTAAATGGTATAAAAAATAAAAAGTTTACACATTTTTTTTTTACTTTATCAAAGCGATGTGAAGTAATAAAGGTGGTGGAGATAATCCATCAGTCTTGCCTATGAAGAGGTTTTTTAAAAGGTGACTATAACCTCTCACTCTCTCCTAATTTTCCCTCCATCTCTCTATTCTCCTAAAAGACAAATAGGGGCTGGTCTGTCTGACACCGGGTTGGGCGCAGGGGGAAAAGGCTGTGGTGGGGATTTGTGGAGGTGGGGGGATTCCTACCGGTGACCCTTGGGTTCCAGGAATGGGAGCCCAGCTGAAGGCAGGTGAGAGAACTGAGGGTCTGATCCACAGCAAGTAGGGTGACCAACTGTCCCAGGTTACCCAGGACCATGGGGTTCCTAGGTTGCAGGAACTTCAGTGATCAAACCTGGAAAATTCCAGGCAAATGGGGATGAGTTCAGTGGGGGCAGCAGGCATAAAATCAAGGAGCATCTTACAGTGGGAAACACATGCTGCTCCCTGCACAGAACCCATTTCTCCTGCTACCAACGACACCCCAAACTTCCTTTGGAACCCGGATCTCCCCCCTTGAATGGCTCCTGCCCTCGCCCTACCCTAGTTCCAGGGCCAACCCTAACTGCCTGAGGCCGAAGAGTCCCGTGGGTTTGGGAACGGGAACGCACACGGGATTCAGGCCCCAATGAGCCATCACCAAAATGCAAATCAAGACCCCAGTGAGATGCCACTTCACACCCACCACCACGGTTCCCATCAGAAAGATGAGCCAGAGCAAGTGTGGGGAGATGGGGACCTCCACAGGCTGCCAGTGGAAATGCAAAATAGTGCAGCTGCTTTGGGAAAGAGTTCAGCATTTCCTCAACCAGTGAAATGCAGAGTAAGACACGATCCAGGAATTCCACCCCTACGTATGTGCCCCAGAGAACTAAGAACGTACATCCATATCAAAGCCCATACACCAGCGTTCACAGCTGCATTATTCGTAATAGCCAAAAGGTGGAAGCCACCCAAAAGTGCACCGAAAGATGGATGGATAAACATGTGGTCCATCCGTATGGTGGAATATTATTCAGTCATAAAAAAGGAATGAGGTCCTCATGCTTGAAACCATAACGCCAAGGACAGAAGCCAATAACCAAAGGCTGCATATTGCACGACTCCTTTACTGGAAACTTCCAGAACATGTAAATCCACAAAGACGGAAAGCAGATGAGCCACTGCCAGGAGCTGGGGGAGGGGAGGCAATAAGGATATCAGCTCTTTGTCGACGATGTTGCAGAGATTTTTCCCACTGAGCTATTTTTCCTTAAGAGTTTTATTCTGTTATCGATGGGCACCCCTGGAACACACCTAAGGGACAAGCTGACCCTGCATGGAGGCTGGTCACCAGAAAACCACGAGCAATGGTTTGCTCAGTTGTGCCTAGGTAATGAAACCCCAGTAAACATCGTGGATACTGAGGCTCAGAGGAGCTTCCTGGCTGGTGGACACGTTGATATGTCTGATTCCATAGGGGTACCCTCCTGCCCTTCTCCAATGCGTGTCTTCATTTGGGTGGTCCTGATCTATATCCTTTATAATATAATTATCATCATAATACAGCACTTTTCTGAGCTCTGTGAGCTAATACAGCAAATGACTGAATCTGAAAGGGTATTGCCAGGTGGTCAAAGTACAGGTGGCCTGGCGAACCGCAAAACTTGCAACTGGCGTCTGCAGTAAGGACAGACTGGTTGAGGTCCATGCTTTTGATCTTATGGGGTCCGTGCTCACTCTGGTGGGTAGTGTCAGAATGGTGGTAGGGTATGTATACCCAGTGGGGTCAGAACGTTCATCCCAGTGCTGACCCTGAGCAGATCCATCCCAAAAAGAATCACGACCCACTTTCCACACTCCCACAGTGCCCAGTATGTGAAAATACCACCAAGCAGAAGAGAGCCATGTTACCCCTCCACCCAAACTCCTGCCCCTCCTGGTCTAGAATGTCTCCTCGCCAGGTCATTTCTGTTTACTTGTTCAAGTGTCTAAGTTCCCACCCCATGTGGAACTAAATATTTTCTTTTGTCCCCACTTGTACATTCTACCAGGTCAGCCAGGAGGTCACCACCTCCAGGAAGCACTCCATGACCAGCTCAGCCTTCTCCACCTCTCCCTACCCTACTGGCCACAGTGTGCCCAGCTTGTCCAGTGGCAGGACTTATGGCCTGCACGTTGAGGGAAACACCCAGGGCTGAGTAGGTAAGTCCCAACACCCGCCCATGGGGGGAACACAGCCCATCTAAAAATAAAGATGGGGACACTAGTAACAGGAGCTATTATGTGCATCAGACATGCCCTGTGCCAGCTACTTGACATTCACAATGTCGCTGAAACCTCCCTTCACCTCGAGAGGTGGTCCTACTGTTCTCCCCATGGTCAGATGAAGACGTACAGGCTCAGAAAAGGCAAGCACAACACCCTGGTCACACAGCAGCAGCCAAACAACCCAGGGCTCAAGTCCAAGTCCAGCAGGGAGCCACCACACTACCCTAACCATCCTATGAAATGTTCTGCCGTGCCCAGCGCCACGCACAGACCCAACAGTCAAAGCTGCCGTGCAGACTTACAATAGTCGGTCACATAGAAATAGGTGGCTTCCGTCCAGGAGCCGTTGCCCGCCAGGGAGGTGGCCCGGACGCGCACGCTGTAATTCCCTGGGGGCAGCCCTCGCAGCCTGCAGCCCCGCTCCAGAGCGAAATGCCTCCGGGACACGCAGAGGTGCAGCTCCTGGAAGACAAGGGGGTGAGACAGGGGAGGTGGGGAGGCTGTACATCTGGGAGCATCACCCCCGACCAGGACTGTCACAGACAGGATGGCTCAGGAAGTAAGGCACAGCCAGAGCGCAGCACGCAAGCGGCTTGGAGACTCACGGAATTTTAGAACCTTAGCTCTATGGATAAGGAGCTAGACACAGATGAGATCATGACAGATTACAGCCAACTCTTCCCAAACCACACGCTGAGTGTTCAACCTGCGTTATCCCATTTCATTCTTACGACAACCTGATCAGGAACTTGACCACATATTGGGCAAGGGCACGGAAGCTAAGGGCAGAGATTGGCAAACTTTTGCTGTGAAGGACCAGAAAGTAAATATTCTCAGCTTCGAGGGCCTGAACAGTCACTGTCGCAGGCTCAACTCTACCATTTTAACACGAAAGCAGCCAGAGACGGCTCTGAATCCGGAACACGAGCCAATGACAGGTGTGACTGTGTGTCCGTGAGACGCTGTGGACGCTGAAAGCTGAACTTCACATAAATGTACATGTGCCTCTTCTTTTGATATGTTTTTTCTTTCCAGCCACTTTAAGACGTGAAAGCAATTCTTAGCTCTCAGGTTCTACAAAAATGCGTACAAAAGCAGTTTGCTGACCCGATTGAGGACACAAAATGGTTTGCTGGAGATCTTACTGCTTTTGAGTGGCAGGGCCAGCCCTTGAACTCTGGACCATTTGGACCCAAAATTTCTTGAAACCCCTGGGGGACATTCTCATCAAGCCTCCAGAAAGTCCAAGAAGGACAGCAAAGAAGCGACCCCATCGCCAAAGTCGAATTTCAAATCAAATTTTGATCGAGTTTTATAGAATACTCTCTAGCCTTTGGTGGGAGGTCTTTTTATTTTTTTCTCTCTCTCATTTGCTAGTTTAAAAGCCAAAAGCACCTCTAGGTGCATGCATCACTTTCGCATTTCTCTTGCCTTGAACTTTGCATTAGAATCATTGGTCCCTTACCCCTTCCCCTCCCCGCTGGGAGACCCTGACCCCGGGGCACCACCCCGGCCCTAGAAAGAGCATCCATTTTTAATTTTCATGTGCCCTTATCTTTTGCTTCCGTATCTCTTGTGGTTTTGAGCTTTTTCTTTCTTGTGGGCACAAACTTGTATGTAATTGGCTTCTTCAGTGTTGATCAGGTTTCCTGCTTTCGCTCTTTGGTGTCTATGGGGAGAGATCCATCAGGGTCCGGAACCTTCTGTCACACTCCCTGCCTGGTCCCCACCGCCCAAGATGTCCAGGAAGCATGGCCACCACAGAAGGACGCGTTTCCCCTCTGACCTGGGTAGCAGCTTACCTTTGGTTTCTATACTTGCTTATTTGTCTCCTATTTGGTGACTCACCCAACTTGGAAGAAACTTTGGACTGGAGATCCCCACCCTTGCCACCAGCCCGATTTGTTTTCTTGCTGTTATTGTCACATGATAAGCCCCAGAGTTCTTACCACCTCTTTCTCTCCCCACCCAGATTTTCCAGTCCAGTTCTCTGCATGCGCTATTAGCTCAGAGGTGTGTGGGAAAGTTTTCAAACTTTGGACCCATGCTTGCAGGTTTCACGGTCTTATTTCCCTGTGGGCCTCACAAGCTAATAAGCGTACGCGTTTGTCTCTATTTCCGTGTTGATCCCTGGGGCGTGTATGCTTTACTTTTTTTTCCCTGTCTTTTATCAGAGATTTACGTAGATCCACACTCTTTTAAGAATGGTAAAAGAAATCAAATGAAATCAAATCCAAAGCTGTACCATGGGAAGAAAAGAGTCCTTAAATCTGTCCTGAAGAAAATATACCCAACAGTGTAAATGGTATAAAAAATAAAAAGTTTACACATTTTTTTTTTACTTTATCAAAGCGATGTGAAGTAATAAAGGTGGTGGAGATAATCCATCAGTCTTGCCTATGAAGAGGTTTTTTAAAAGGTGACTATAACCTCTCACTCTCTCCTAATTTTCCCTCCATCTCTCTATTCTCCTAAAAGACAAATAGGGGCTGGTCTGTCTGACACCGGGTTGGGCGCAGGGGGAAAAGGCTGTGGTGGGGATTTGTGGAGGTGGGGGGATTCCTACCGGTGACCCTTGGGTTCCAGGAATGGGAGCCCAGCTGAAGGCAGGTGAGAGAACTGAGGGTCTGATCCACAGCAAGTAGGGTGACCAACTGTCCCAGGTTACCCAGGACCATGGGGTTCCTAGGTTGCAGGAACTTCAGTGATCAAACCTGGAAAATTCCAGGCAAATGGGGATGAGTTCAGTGGGGGCAGCAGGCATAAAATCAAGGAGCATCTTACAGTGGGAAACACATGCTGCTCCCTGCACAGAACCCATTTCTCCTGCTACCAACGACACCCCAAACTTCCTTTGGAACCCGGATCTCCCCCCTTGAATGGCTCCTGCCCTCGCCCTACCCTAGTTCCAGGGCCAACCCTAACTGCCTGAGGCCGAAGAGTCCCGTGGGTTTGGGAACGGGAACGCACACGGGATTCAGGCCCCAATGAGCCATCACCAAAATGCAAATCAAGACCCCAGTGAGATGCCACTTCACACCCACCACCACGGTTCCCATCAGAAAGATGAGCCAGAGCAAGTGTGGGGAGATGGGGACCTCCACAGGCTGCCAGTGGAAATGCAAAATAGTGCAGCTGCTTTGGGAAAGAGTTCAGCATTTCCTCAACCAGTGAAATGCAGAGTAAGACACGATCCAGGAATTCCACCCCTACGTATGTGCCCCAGAGAACTAAGAACGTACATCCATATCAAAGCCCATACACCAGCGTTCACAGCTGCATTATTCGTAATAGCCAAAAGGTGGAAGCCACCCAAAAGTGCACCGAAAGATGGATGGATAAACATGTGGTCCATCCGTATGGTGGAATATTATTCAGTCATAAAAAAGGAATGAGGTCCTCATGCTTGAAACCATAACGCCAAGGACAGAAGCCAATAACCAAAGGCTGCATATTGCACGACTCCTTTACTGGAAACTTCCAGAACATGTAAATCCACAAAGACGGAAAGCAGATGAGCCACTGCCAGGAGCTGGGGGAGGGGAGGCAGGAAGACTGCAGGAGGAAGGGGATGGTGGGGGGAGGGGGGAACGGGGTTTCTTTTTGGGGTGATAAAAGCATTCTGAAATTGTGGAGATGGTCACACCTCCCTGTGAATGTACCAAAACCACTGAATCGTACATTTTAAATGGGCGTTATTTTGTGGTATGTGAATGTATCTCAATAAAATCGTTATTTTCTTTTTTTAGCCCTCCTTTCTGCTTGTATGGCTCTCAAAGATGAGCATATTGACTCTCTGGCCATTTGCAGGAAATGACTTCTTCTCCTGAGCCCAGCAGTCCGGGTTTCGGTGTGCTGGGTGGACCATTGTAAAGGACTCAGCCAGGTGCCTGCAACAGGACAAGGGCTCAGTCAAAGGCAGGGTACAAACTGAGCGAGGTGATGTGACTTACCCGCCGGAAGTCACCCGGTAAAGGGGAGAATTATCCGCAATCAGGTTCAAGTGTCTCCTTTGGGGATGGAGTCCTTCCCACAATGGTTACAGGCATGGCTTAGAGCAGAAGCTGGCCAACTAGAGCCCCTGGGTTTTCCAGCCTGCTGCCTATTTTCGTAAGAAACATTCTATTGGCACACAACCACACCCACTGCTTTCTCGTTCCTCTTTTGAGCTACGACCACAGTTAAGTGTTTGCAACAGAGGCTGGCTGGCTGCAAAGCCAACGTGTTCACTACCTGGTTCTTTACAGAAAAAAAAGGTGCCGACCCCTGGATGAGAACATCAGATAGTCTTGGATTTGAATCCTGACTTTTTCCTTAAGGACCTTGGACACGACTTCAATTCTGGATGCCTCAGGAGCAATCTCACCGGAGTAGTCTGAGGATTTATTGCATTTCGTTGGTCCTGAGAGGCAAATTGTTTTTCGTATTTGGACATTTCTGAAATCGGAATACATCTCACAAGCCATCTTACAATTAGAACTGGCAGTGTCTTTGCTTTTTCAGTAGTCCATAAAAATAATGGGGCCTCTTATCATGTCTTAGATGTGATCAAATATGACAAATGAGATACTGTGTGTAACCTTGCGGAGCATGCTTGGGACACAGAGTGAGTCCTTGGGACAGCTGAGCTACTTTTTTATTCTTCTTAGATTCCGTATCTTGGGCGCCTCTGCATTCACCCATCACCTTGGGTTTCCAGTAGTGGGAAAGCCCCCAACACAAAAGGTACTTATTAAGGTCTTCAGGGATTTATTCCCAGACTCAGATAACCCTTTCAAAAGTGAAATGTCATGTCAGGAGGGACTCAAATGCAGGCAGCCAAGCTTCTGCTTACAGGGCAGAGCTCCAAAGCCATGTGGGAAACTGGGAAAAAAACATAGGCTTCTAGGTTGGCATTTCTGACCCAACCTTCTCCCTGGAATACTGTATATCAAAGGCTTTGAGCCCTAAGGGCGAAGGATCTGAGGAACGAAGCATCAGGACCAGAAGTTAAGAAGAGGAAGGAGGGACCAAAGACAGTCTCAAAGGCTCACGCCCAAGCCTTCAAGGACCTTACCTCATCGCCGTATCGTCGGTAACTCACTTCGTATAGCACGATCAGACCATTGGGCTCCTTCGGCTCCTGCCACATCAAGTGAACCACGTTGTTCTCAAAAATTTCGTGGGTCACGGGGCCAACAATGTCATCTGCCTTGGCTGTAAAAGGAGCAGTGGTTAGAGGCAGGGATGGGACCCCTGGACCAAATCCCACCTCCGCCACCAAGCAGCTAAGACACTTCAAGCTGGTTGCCTGACCTTCCCTGGGTTTCATTTCCCTCATCAGAGAAGGACCTATAAAACTTGTGGCATATAAACACCTGTGGGATCGTCTATGTATTTGTGTGTATCTACCTACCTACCTATGTCACATCCTGTTGGTCCCATTTCTCTGGAGAACCCTGACTAATAACACTAACAAGTACGACGTTCTTACTTTTACTTGACTTTCCTCATGGCTTGTATTTTCTAAAGTTTATATAGTGGCTGTGTATGACTCGTGTAATGAAAAACTATTAAGGCAAATACGGGTGGACCCCGAGGGCATTACACTAACTGAAGTCAGGCGGAGGAAGACAAACGCCGTATGATCTCACTTACAGGTGGAATCTAAAAAAAGCCGAACCCACAGACGCAGAGAGCAGAGGAGTGGATGCTGGTTGTAGGGGGAGAGGGGCAACAGTATAGATGGTGGTCAAAGGGTACCAACACCCACATACAAGGTGAATTCGTTCTGGGGAATCCAACGCACAGTGTGGTGACTGTACCTCACAATGCTGTATCACATGCCTGAACGTTGCTGAGAGTTAATCTTAGGTGTTCTCACCACACAAAAAAATGCTGACTTTGAGACGGGACAGGTGTTTGCTAACACTAGGGTGGAAATCGCACGGCAAGACATCAACGCATCAAATCAACATGAGGTGCATCGGAAACTTTCACAACGTGGTTACATGTTAATGGTATCTCAGCAGAGCTGGGAAAAGTTCAAAATGATACAGACAAGTAAGCTAAAGGACACATCTTTGCTGCCCCGAGGGCGGAGACCGTCTCCTGGTCGCCTGGGTCTCCCAGCCCCGTGGTGGGACAACCCACCTTCAGGCATGGTCCTGGCGCTCACGTAGGCGGCCACGCTGCACCTCTCCCCGGGGGAGTCCTGGTTGCAAGCCTGCAGCTCGATGCGGTAGCCTGTGAAATGGTGCAGCCCAGAGATGACCAGCGACTCCTTGTTCACCACTTTCTCAAAGGGCCTGTGCTCCTCCGGGGCCGTGGGCACGACTGTTGTCACATTCCCGACGTCTCCAAGGGCCCTGCGTTTCCGAGATGGCCTGTCACAACAGCAGGGCACACAAGGTCATGCAATCACCATCTTAAAAGAAAATATGACGCTGGAGAATCAAAAGCTTAGAATGAAAGACTGTGAGGGGTGCAAGAGGGCACACGGATTAAAATGCAAATTGCCAGAATTACAACCCAGAGAAGCTTCCAGACGCCCCTGGGAGCACAGTCAGTTTCAGGGCTCCGGGACTATCTGTAGGAGGCACACAGACATGGCCCTGGACATGCTTGCTGGATTTCAGGTTTTCATTTTGCAGATTAATAGCCAGGGTCAGATTAACACCCAGGGTCAGTGTTAAAAATAAAATGCCAAAAGCGTGGTAGAGTCGAGCTACAGACCAACATCATCAGGAGAAACACATCTTCTAATTCTTAGGACCGTTTAGGACGCCTGTCTGTTTAACTTGAATGATTGAATGTCGATTCTTGGTGGAAAAAAAACCAACCTTATCAGTCAGGTTGGTGAAGCTAACTCAAAACACCACCTGTGCGGTGGGCACACATTTTCCCCCTTAAAAAGATGTGTTAAGAAATAAAATTGGTGAGTATATACGTGTGTCAAAATTCGCCAAGCTGTACACTAAGATTTGTGCATCTGATTGTACAGACCTCAATAAAAGAGGGGAAAATAAATGTCCATCATTTATGCCACCCCCTCAAAAGAGAAAGAAATGTTGATAGCCTAAAAATTCATGAACACCTCAAAAGTATAAAGAAAACTTAAATTACTTGTCATATCACTATCTGCTGTTTCCTGGGGGGCCATTTTTTTCTGTATTTCTAAAATCTTTTCTAGAAATATTGTGTCTGGGATGTGTGGAACAAGCTAGTTTTATAATCCACTTTCTAGTATATCATGACTATATTAATTATGATCTCAGAAGCATTCTTCAAATACGTTCCTTGAAACATCATGTCTTCAGTAGGACAGAATTTACACTTTTTTCCTGTCTCTTTATGAGGGTTTTTCCCTCCTCATTACAAAAGTAGGAGAAGCTCATGGCAGAACACTTGGAAATCTAAATATTCTATTAAATGCATGAGCCGTAATTTACTGACCATCCTTCGCTTCTTGTTAACCCTGTAAGAGGAGTCACAATTTTTTTTTTCTGTTATAAATTCTGCTTTGAGCATTGCTGGACTGTCTTACCAGTTGCTGAAAGTAGATTCCTAGAAGAATCACCGCTAGGTTCTGCTCCTTAATGCATATGATTAAAGCGCTATCTGGAGCTTCGTGACGTGTGGTCTCGCCCATAACCCATTAAACTGCACCTCCAGAAAACCTCAGCCATGCTGAGGGTCAAAGGGACTTTTGGGGAGGATTTGTTCATTTGTTTGTTTTTCTGATTTTCAACCTGGGAGATTTAAAACCCAAAGGAAGGCATGGAGCTACTGCTTTACTTTGCACCTCTTTGCACGGCTGAGTGTGAAATCTTCCTTTATTGGGTGCTTGTGTTTCCTTCCCTATGGAATTGTCCATCCCTTTGCTATTTTCCCATGAATTTCTAGTTTTCTCCTCATCCCTACCCACCATTAGCTATTCAGTCACCAAGGCTATTAAACCTTTATCAACTGTATCATGTGTTTTACCCCGGTTTGCAGTCTGCCAGTGAGTTTTCTTTCAAATATTTTGAAACAGTCTTTCACGTGTATCTGTAAAACTTTTCTAGGTCGGCAAATTTTTACATTTTTTTCCCCTGACAGGTAATTCTTGATGGGGTCACTAAACTTTTATGGCACTTACAAAGGGATCTTTTCCCCGCCGTTGCCGGCGTTATCTACGGGTTTTTTTTGTGTATTTGTATTGCACTTCCTTTCCCGGACTCTATTCTAAGAGTTTCATGGTTGATTTTCTCGGGTTTTCAAAGCACAGACTGGGAAAAGCAACAGCGAACGAGTCCGTGAGAGCTAGAGAGTAAACACTTTGGTTTTTTAGGGACATGTGGCCTTTGTCACAACTACTTAACATTTAATGGCTTTTGGGAGGCCACTGTAGCTTCAAAGCAGCCATAAACAAAAAGTAAACAAACAGGAGGGGCTACATGTCCATAAAACGTTGCTGACCAAAACAGGCAGCCCCCAAAACGGTCTGGAAGCGCATGATCCTGACAAATCGTGGGAGTGTCAGCAGCAGCCTGACGCTAGGTCACAACACCTAGTCACGCCCATAGCGCCAACGCACCACGCGGGCCTGTCTGCCATCTCACAGCCTCAAGAAAAGGAATGTGAGTCCAGCACCGTAAGATATTTTGAGGGCAAAAGAGAGACCACGTCCACATCACTTTTATTACAGCGTATTGTTATAACTGTTTTATTTCCTTAATGTTATGTCTTTGTGCCTGATTTAGAAATTAAACTTTATCATAGGGTTGTGTGGCTAGGAAAATATATAAAATGCAGAGGGCTTGGTTATTATCTGTGGTTTCAGACATCCCACTGGGGGTCTTAAAACAGATCCTCCGTGAACAAGGGGAGGGGGGCTACTATACCCCAGGATTCTATCCAAGCAGACCGCAGAGTGGTCCATAAAGACCCTCAGGGCCAACCACCCACTGACTTTCCCACTCCTATAAACAGTCTCACACTAGATGAGTGGTTCTCAGCCAGGGCTGGAGACTCTGCCCCCTGCCCCGCTACTGGGGGGGGTGGGGGGGACGTACGGCATGTCTGGAGATATTTTTGTTTGTCACTACTTGAGGGACATCGTGTGGGTGGAGCCCAGAGGTGCTGCTCGCCACGCCGCGGTGCACAGGGCAACGTCTGGCCCCGCATGTCAACACCTCTGACGCTGAGCAGCCCTGGTCTGGACCAAGCCCTCAAATTTCTAAGCCTTTTTTTTCTACAATATTCCAAACGGCCACTAGAGGTCAGATCGGGGCCGCACATATGCCTGAAAATACACAGCAGACAGTCAAGTCCCCTGCATGGGCGCAACGGGTAATGTCATGTACAGCACGGTGGTCTAGTTAATAACACTGCACATTTGAAAGTCGCTAAGAGACTAGATCCCCAAAGTTCCCATCACAAGAAAAAGAAATTGCTATGTGGTGCCCAGATGTTCATTAGACGGTGGCAATCATTTTGCAACATACACAGCTATCGAATCATTTCATGGTACTCCTGAAACGAATATACTGTTTCATGTTGATTATACCTCAATAAAAAGAAATTAATTGAGAAAAAAAAACCTCCCCCACAGAAGCCTGACCTGCCTTTCCAGTCTTGCCTCCTCCTCCTCCCAGGAGCCCCTGGACTGGCCTTTCCCCATAGTGCCTCTGTCTGTCCTGGCCGAATAAAAAGGTAAAATGGACAAACCCCCTTTTTATTCTTAAAGGGAAGCCCAATGGTCCTCAGTGGAACTCAGGGACGCGGTGGTACACTTTTGTTCACACCTGCTGTCCCATGCTTGACACCCAAATAAAAATGTTCTGCTTCCAGTCCCCCCACCCCACCTGCTCCATGTGGCTAAAACTCTGGGTGTTGGGCTCGGCTCCGCACACACGCTAGATGTTGCATGGAGGGAAATGTGTGGCATCTAGCAGGTGCCTGGCAAGTACAATCTTGATTCCATTTTTAATTAGACTGTGTTAGTTATGATTTTTCCCCACATTCACGCCCAGATCCCATTTCAGGATGAAGGCATTTAACGTGTGAATCTGTGAAGCCTCCAGTACCCGCACAGAAGCCCAGGACATGCAACAAGCCACGGAAAGCCCCTGGGGTCTTGAAGGCACAGGACATGCTCCCTGACCCGCCTGGCCCACAGGGACCGCCAGGGGCCACACAGAAGTCCCACAGATTGCCATACCTAGTGTCCTCAGCACCAGGGCCTGAAGAGGATTTTCTGTGAAAACAAAATCAGCCACTTTGAGGACAGACGGCACTTCTTCAGGCAGACCACTTCACTTACTTCTGACAGCCTGGAAGCCACACTTGGTCCAAAGGCAGCCTGCCCTTGACCATGGACCACTTTTTCCCATCACCTGAACCACACCTTCTCCAGCAGGTGTGGAGAACACAGCAAGCGGGGGGTAAAATCAGGGAACACATTCGCCAGGGACCTGGTCCTTCGATGTGAACTTGACCACATTTAAACATCACACCTGACTCAGGTGTTTCCCGGAGTCCAACAGCGCTTTTTTTGCTTTTAACAGGTAAACGAGTAACTACCTCAACGCCTGGGCTGTACCACTGAATGCTCTCTGGGACTCAGGGGAGGGGGGCAAAGGCCAGAAAGAAAGAAAAAAAAAGAAGAAAAGAGAATTTACATATTGATGATTCCTGGGAAAGGTCAGCTCGGATGGGGAGCAACGGTGGGCGTTTGAAGAGACCCATTTCAGAATCTTGTTTTATTTCAATGTCAACCTCTTAGGATTTTGATCCCCTCTGGAAATGGCCAATTGCATCAGACGTTTCTGGGTAGCCGTCTGCTGAGTTTTTTAAGGGAGATGACTCAAAGCCCACACCACACACACACACACACACACACACACACACACACAGGCTGTGCAAACCAGAGAGTAGCCTCGCCAGCTCCAAAATGCGGGCTTTGGACCCGTGGAAGGGGGAGAGCTCCTGCTTCAGCGGGTGACCATAAACATGCACAAGCTAAAATGATGCAGACAGTGCCCCTGGCATCGAGTGGGCAGAAGCCAGAGATGATGGGCAAACCCTCCAATGTACAGGGTGACCCCCACAGCACAAAGAGGGATCTAGCTCCAAATGTTGGTAGGGTCCAGGTTGAGAGGCCCTGGATGACTCCTGTGCTGTTATAATCCTAAAAGATGGGAACCATTATTACCTCCATTTTACAGATAAGTAAACTGAGGAGGCATGGAGAGAGGTTATAATAACCTACGACCCACAAAAGCTTGCCCTTTAGCTATGTGTTCTTGCTTTGCAAGAAAGATAAAGAGGGAAGACACAGGATCATTTTTACCACAAACCTTCCCGGTAGATCAGATGCCCACCAGCCAATCCCCTCACTCACTAGAGGAAACTCAACGTATTTAAACAAGAGAAGCCTCCAGGTTTTGAAGATGCTGTGGAAAGTTCCAGAAGGATGAGAAAGTTACACAGATTTTAAAAAAAGAGAGACTGTACTGATCTGGATGCTCAGTGGTAAATCAAGCATGGGGCTGGGCAGGCATTGCTCAGGATTTGCTGGCAAATTGAATGGAGTTGGTTTCAAAACTCAGATGGAATCCAGTGGATGGGACAAAGAGTTTGGGAGATGTAGGAAAGCAAAGGTGAAATTATTTAAACATTCCCTCCTTCTGGGGTGATTCTGTGTTTCTTCCTGGGAAGGTTCCTGCTGAAATCGCAGTATCTCTCCATCCAGCCACCAGCCCTCTGGTGCCCACTTCATCTTGTTCCCTAGGTAACGACCCCAACAGCAAGCCAATGAAAACTGCTCACCTGGGGACAAAAACCACATTGTGCAGGTAATCCTCAAAGGTCTTCCTGAACGAGGATTCCTCCAGCTCCTTGAGGATCTGAGAGTCCGTCTTCGGGCAGGAGCAACATTCCCCGGCAGCCTCTTCGTAGTCACTCTGATTGTGCTTCTGGGACCCCTCAGACTCAAACGGTGGGGACCAGGTCCGGGAGGGCAGCTTCAACCCTAGAGATGGGCAGAGCAGGTGGTTCAAATCGCCCCCACCCCACATACGCACGTAGAGCTAAGGGGGCCTGTGCAGAAGAGCTGGGGGCACGGGACAGAGCTCGGGGCCAGGGTCTGCGTTCAAGTTCTGCTGAGAAAAATAAAACCTCTCGGGAGAGGTCCTGTCTGTGTCAACTGAGATGGGGCAGGTCAGTGTGTCCCCAAAACCGTCAGACACCGTGACCCCATGGGGCTGGAGACCGTAAGGAAACCTCGTGGAATCTACATGCTAGTGGGCCACTGAACCCAATGAAGTGACAAACACATCTGCCATAGGTTAGATGGCAGGGTGAAAAGATGGGGCACTTGGGATGCTATTTTCCTGGAGGTGGTCTCAGAGAAACTGAGCAGTCCTCAGTTAAGGAAAGGAATGAGCCTTCCACAGACCTTGGTATAAAGCATGGAGCAAGCGCAGACGCCCTAAGGTAAGAATTTCCTTGGTACATATCAAAAGACAGTAAGGACCGGACGTAGCTAGAAGGCGCTCAGAGGAGGTGGGATCAGAAGGACTGGGGGGGGGTCGAATACAGCTAAATGAATGAGTGAATGAATCAACCAAATACATGAATATAAAGTGACAGAGAGCAGAGAATTCCACATGAAATTCTAGGGGTTCCAACTTACAGACACAATGGTTTTACTGAACAATGAAATGAAAGAACCTACGGCACATTCAGGAATCTGGAAGTCAGATCAGAGAAGCAGTTCTCACCCATAAGGGGATTCTGCACTGCGCAGGCCCCAGGACATTGGGATCCTGCACTGCTGAAGGCCTCAGGACATTGGGCAAGGTCTGGAGGCATTTGGGTTGTCAGGACTGTTGTGGGGTAGAGGAGGCTACCAGCATCTATCTACCTGGTGGTGGCCAGGAATGGGGTCACACCCTACAAAGCACAGGACCACCCCCACCACAAAGAGTACTCCAGCCCCTATGTCAACCACACCGAGGTAGACAGAGAAACCCTGGGCTAAAGACAGGGCAGGAGATCAGAGAAAGTTTTCAAATAGGCACAGCAAAAGGAATTAAAAAAAAAAAGCTTCTCAAAGGAACAGCCTTAAAAACACAAAGCTGTTTTCAAAGTACCACGGCTGGCCGTGTCTTGACCCCTGACGTCCAATCCCTGGGCACCGGCCACTCAGCTGTGTGAGCACAGATGCACTTCTGGTACGGCCTCTAGGGCGGACACAGCCTGCAGGCGAATCTCAGCTTCTTTCCTGCTGCCAGCCCTCTGGTGCTGGTGTTTGTGGAGATGCAGCACTTTTTTTCTCTCGCCTTGAATGGGTCTGGGAGGCAATGACTGTCAGTCCTTTCCTGTGAATGGTGAGTATCCACTCGGAAGCTCAAGTATTTATATAGCTTTGAAAGCCAGCGAGTGACTGTTACAAATGCTTGTGACATTTACGAATAGACATAAATTAACTTGTCTGGGTAGCTGTCAGAGGACCTAGGGAAGACGTGGTGGGTGGAAGAAAAACATGGGGTTTCCTCTGCAAGAGACGGTCCAGCAGCTTCCTGGAGGCAAGGGGACTCGGGACTGAGCAATGGACGGAGCATCTTGCTCCCGTTAGCTTTGCTAGCATCCACCACGTGCCACTTGATGCACTGTGGTCTTTCTGTAGCTTCAGAGTAAAAGCACTATGGGGTCCAGGACGGTCACATCCAAGGAGACAGGAAGTATAATGGGGGAAGGGATGGGACGGAGTGTTTCACTTTGGGAAGATGGAAAGTTCTGGAGATGGAGGGTGGGGGTGGTTGCGACAATGCAAATGTGCTTCACGTCATTCAGCTGTGCACTTGAAATGTTAGGATGGTAAATGTTATTTTATAGCAATTAAAAAAAACGTACAGTGGATAACGTGTACTGTATAATTGAAATTTGCTAAGAAAGAGCTTAAATGTTCTCAAAAAAAAAAAAAAGATAAATATGGGAGATGATGGATGTGTTCCTTAACTAGGTAGCAGGAATCCTGGCCCGACATAAGCACGTATCAAATCCCGTGCCCTCCCCCAGCCGCTGGTCCCACCATCCACTTTCTGTCTCTATGAATGTGACTCCCCTAGGGGCCTCCTAGAAGTGGGATCAGACAGATCTGTGATCATTACAAATAAAGCCAAGTTTAAATAACCACGTTGTAATGACAGATTTAGACTTCCAAAATAAAATGCGTGGCTCTTTAAAAAAAAAAATGCAAAGTGCTGACTGCTGCTTCTGGTGGCAGTGGTTTCGGTTACTCGAAGGCCGGGCCAGTGGCTCGCAGCTGAGCTGATGACTGCTTGCTCCTGAGTTATATAAAGCACCCGAGGAGATAAATCACGTTTGCAACCCTCAGCTCAGGTGGGCAATGAGGTCACAAGCGTACATATAGCCCATGATCTTAGAGCTGGGACAACTCCCGGAGATTATCTGGCCTCCTGCCCCTTCTCCCAATAAGGAGGCAGCGGGTGACAAGCTCGGTGACTTGTCCAAAGCCCTATGGCAGGTCATAGGGCCAGCCAAGAGCAGATGGCAGCCTCCCCGCCTCAGCCACGGCTTGCCAGCCGCCCCTGAGCCTTGGCTTCCAAGGTCAAGGGCTGAGGATAGCCCTAGTTCAAAAAAAGAAAATAAATAATGTTTCTCCAGTTTGATGGGGTTTTGTAAAGATCCAGTTTTACATTTTAAACTAATATATACAAACCAGTTGGAGGCCTAAAATATTTTTCCATTTTTCTGCAGACGGAGGGAAGCCCATTCAGTAAACAAGATTAAATACTGGGGCTGGGGCTGGTGGTGGGGGACACGTCATTAGCATAAATTTTTAATGGAAGTCACAGGAGAGAACAGGTATCCTCTTTGCTGTCTCTGATCTTTAAAATTTAAGGGTCTGAATTTAGGACTGAAATTCTTCCCTGACTTTATCGATCACCTCTCGACACACTCAGTTGTGTTCCTAGCTCAACCCAGTGGTCTTCAGTGGGTTAACACAGCAGTTGCCCCACCAGGGGAAGGAAGAAGAGGAGAAAATTCCAGAGAGAAATGGTGCCAAAACATGGGAAACAAGTGGTTTCAACACCAGTCTTCAGGGTGTCATCACGTCGCGATGTTTAGAAACCATGCACGCACGTTTTTGTACGAGGTGAAACGCAGTGTGCGTGCACGCATGTACTTGTACACACCCTGGGAACACAGTGTTGGGATGAGACGCTTCCCTGGAAGAAGAACAAGGTGAATCAGATGCTCCCACACACCTGCCCACACTCACCTTTGAGGCAATAATCCAGCTCGTACAGCTCACTGTCTTCTGCCTGCCTCTCCCAGAAAACCAGGTAGTGTGTGATGTTGCCATTGGGATCCGAGGGAGGCTTCCACTTGAGAATAATCTGGGACGAGGAATTTGAAACCGAAATTGGATCCAGGGGAACAGAAGGATCTACAAAGGAGACAGGAAACCGGTCCGCAGTGAGGAGGAGATCGCAAGCCTGAGAGTGGACACCCCGGCCAGAGAAACCGTGAGGATGTTCCTTGCAGGGTTATTTAACATCAGAGAAAACTGGAGACGGGTGGAATGCTCACCCAGCAAGGGCACAGGTTCCCAAATTATGGTCCATTTGTGCCACAGATTATGTAGCCATTCATTCATGCAACAAACATTTATGGAATTCCAACTACGTGCCCAACTCTCTGCGTTCTGGGGGCTATAAAGACGCTGGAGAAGGGCAGGATGGTGGGAAGAGACAAATAGGCTCACATTGTCTGGTTGACATTCACCCTAAATCAAACCCAGGTGCAGGGCAGAGGTCAGGAGTCGGATGCCAACTCAATCACGTGACCAAGCTGGCACCTCGGCTAACATCTTCTCAGAACGCATCACCTCTGGGCTGCACAAGACCTTCTCCTCCAGGATGAAGGCAGCTCAAGTTCTTGGTGAGGGGTGGGGATGGGGGTCTCAAGGCAGAGGACACAGGGTGTACAAAGACCAGGAAGCTGGAAGTTTCTGGAAACTTCCAGCCCTTCTGCTATTGCTGGAGCATACAAGAGACAGAGCATTAGCCCGATATGCTGGCTGGTTCATAAAGTTTGGACGCTGTCCTACAGGACGGGGTTCCCAACCTTGGCACTCCTGACATTTGGGGCTGGGGAAACCATCCTGTGCATTGCAGTATGTCAAGCAGCACCCCTGGTCTTCACCCACTAGATGCCAGGTCCCCACCTCTGCAGTCATGACAACCAAAAGTGTCTTCATGGTGGGGTTGTGGGGGCAGAATCAACCCCCTTCAAAAATGGGGGACAGGGGCACAGAGATGAAACAAAAATGGCAAATTGAACACTGTTGAAGCCAGGAGATGGTTCGTGGGGCTCAAGCTTCTTTCTGCTTTTGTGGGTATTTAAATTTTTTCCATCATGGGAAGAAGAAACACACATATAGATACCCCTCAGGTGGCTTGTCACTCCTGCCTTATCTTTGGAAACCATACACTCAGCCCCCCGGCTCTTTCAGAAGCCGATTACCAAGCAAAACAGCATCTCATTCGACATCGCTGGGTCTGCCTATTAAAGGCAAGACGTCCGATTCATGCGCAAATTCATCTGCGCAAGAAATACTTACTGGTGGCATCTGTCTGGACGTAGATGATGTCGCTCTTGGCCCCGTAGGTACGGCGTTCATCGGAGAAGGTGACCAAGGTCTTCACAAAGATGGCGTACTGTGTCCACGGCTTGAGACCCCTCATCAGCCATCCAGGGTGGTTCTGAGACTTGGGGTCATTGGACCTCTGAGGTGGGTCAATGTCTACCACCGTCCAGCTGTTGGAGCCACACGCATCCTGCCCGTCAAACTCCGTCACATTCTGATAAGGACTTCCAAGACAGAAGAGGGAAAGACGTTGCCATTTTGTGCCTATCGCTCCGAGCACCACAGAGACACGGCCAGGGGAAGTTACACCCCCGGTAGGTAGGGCTGCATCCTGTTTACCAACAATCGTACAGGCAGCTCCCAAAGAGAGAGGGACTGCTTCCCTTGTGTCCCCATTTCCCCATAATGAAGATGATGATGACACCAGCTATGCCATGAGTTACTAATAAGATTATATGAGAGAACATGTCTGACGTCTCAGCACACAGCCTGACACAGAATGAGAGACGGAATTATTATTAATATTAACGCGATCACCACATTCATGATCTGCCTTTAAAATGTCGGCATGGTTATATCCTGAAAATAACTAGGTGACATTGAACGGGGACAGAGTTTCAGTTTGGGATGATGAAAACATTCTGGATGTGGCTGGTGGTGAGGGTCGCACAGCGATGTGAATGTACTTAATGCCACTGAACTGATGACGGAAACACAGTTAAAATGGCCAAATCTGTGTTATGGGGGTTTTAAACACAATCTTTTAAATGTTGGGAAAAAATAGAGAATAGGTAAAAAAATAAATATATTTTTTTAAAACCTATGTGGACCGAGCGACTTTCGGTTGAGGGCGTCTGGTGAGATGTACGTAGAAGAGACAAATTGGACTATTGCTACAGGAAAGTGGCCGACCTGGGCCTCCAAAAGAAACCTGTCTGTTTCAATTTCTGGCTCTTGACAATGCGAGATAGTGACTTTCAAACACCATCAACTGGGAAGTTCATAAAAAGGAAAACTGGTTATTTATCCCCCGAGGAGGACGGACATAGGAGCCTCAGACGGGCTCAGTTCCTGCGCTCACACCTCTTCATCCTCCTACTTACGCCTCTTTGTAGAAAAGCATGAATCCGAGGAGGTCTCGGAAGTCGGGGGGCCAATACGGCTCCCATTTCAGCAAGATCTTGTCAGCAGATGATCGGATGGAAGAAAATTTAAGTAATTCATTTTCACCTAGAAGAGTTAAAAGAAAAATAACCCAGGATCAGTAGTTTGTTTCCACCCAGAGCAGGAGATCCTACATTTCTAACAGTGGCCACGAGAAGGAAAACATCAGTCTGACGTTCCCTGGATGGGTCTCGTTCCCCACATGCCTCTTCCCAGGTTCCACGGCAAGACCTGGTCATGCAAGTCGACTCCTACGCAATCCGAATACTTGGTCAGATGCTCGACTGAGTAACAGCCGTCAGCACCAGTGCCAGGACAACTGGTCAGTAGTCCTTGGGAAAAGGGATTTTCAACAGTAATGTTCGTCCTGATGCAATTTCATCGTGTAATTGGACTTTCAAGCCTGACATATCAGATATTAACTCCAGTGCAAATGAATTTAGAGTGTGCAGATCATTATATTTTGGAGAGACAATGCCTTGGCAATGCGACACTTGGAGAGAGCAATTCCCTCTGCTTGGAATGCAAGCCTCCCCTTAAAGCTCTCTGCTCTCCGCCCTCTGCTAAACGACTACAGCTTGGACTACATTCTGTCCTAAGGAACCAGTTCCACACAAGGATATCAGGGCACTCAATGCTCAGATATCCCTTCAAGGGAGCACAGCTGGCTGATGGTCAGCAGATGTACTAACTGCTTGACCTGCTGTAGCATTCAAGCCAAGGTCATATAAAAGGGGGAGTCATTCATTCATTTGCTCAGTGCTTATGTGGCAGCTTCCGAGGTCAGGCATTGTATTTGAGGCAATAAGCAGAGGGATAAGATGTGCCACAACTGAGCTCAGAATTTCTGAAAGCCTATCACACATATAGTTGTGGCAGCTCATTGAGGGGCAGGGACATGCCCCCGGTGGGCCAGTGTGGTGGGCAAGGGGGAGGGCAGCCACGTTATCTGGCCCACGGGCTTGGCAGGACCAGGGCCTCGCCACTTACAGGATGCCTGGTCCCCATTGGTCTTCAGGGCGATGTCGTTCCTCTCCTGGCGTCCTTTGGTTCCTGAAACTCCCTCCATCTTGTGAATTTCTGACAAGCAGAGTTTGGGGTTATAGTGGAAGAAGAGCTTCCCCCGAGTGATTGTGAGGTTGTGTTTGCTCCAGTCCCATAGTTGTCTTAAGTTCTGGTTGTCCAAGGCATAGAAAGAGTAATTCCTATGGAAACACACACATATCTAGTCATTCATCAGGGCCATGGCTGGAGTCGATCTTGTTCAGCGCTGTATACCTCCAGTCCTGACCACCTGCTTGCCACATACTCGTGACATGTTGAAGGGGAGCTGAGAGGGAAAGGGGAAATTAAGGATGTCTTCGTGGCCAGTTAGGTAATCTGAGCTCGGTCTTGTGGGTGAGGAGGGTAGACGGTGATGGACTAATATGGGTTTGGCAGAGCATAAAGATGGAAGACACAGAGGCATCTGAGCCAGGCTCCGGGAGGTCAAAGTAGCCTGCTCCAGCCAGTGATGACAGGCAACAAGAGTGAGCCGCAATAAGTCAAACCATCTAGTACACTGCATGCCTGACCAAGACCAAGAACATGTGCCCTTCCTCCAGCAGAGGGGAGCCACAGACGGTTTTATCATGACTCAGTTAACTTGATTAGATTTGTGCCTTAGAATATTAGTGGGCCACCAGCACAGGATGGATGGGAGGAGAGAAGCATTTAGGCCTGTGTTGGCCAATACAGAAACTATTTGTCACATCTGGCTATTGAGCATCTGAAATGCGCCATTTTGAACAGTAATTGAAGCAAAAATGCAGATTTTAAAGACTTTATGTGCACAAAACAGATGTAAAAGATCTTTATAATATTTTATATTGAGCTCAACTTCAAAATTAATTTTAGATTTAATGGGTTAAGTGAAATGCATTATTAAAATTCATTTCACCTGCTTCTTGTAAATCTTTTTGAATGTGGCTACTAGAACATTTAATGTCACATATGTGACTTGTATTTCTGTTGGATGACACTGGTCTCATTCTGGGATGCCCAGCTGGGAGGCCATTGGAACAATCCAAATGAAAGGTTTCAGCTTCAGCAAAAAGGCAGTTCTGTGGCAGAAAAATCTGTATTAACCCATTAGTGAGTCAGGAAGGTAGTCTAATCAATTCAGTGGATTGGCTTCTTAAGAGCTAATCACGGCCCCCTCTTTCCCTTGCCTTCCCCTACTATACTGGAAAAGGTCAAAGGTCAATATTCACTCTCCCAGCCTCCCTTGCAGCTAAGGTCAGCCATGTGACCCAGTTCTACATCAGTGTTGGGAGTGAGAGTGCGGGAGGTTTCAGGCAAGTTTTTTTTTTTTCTTTTTGAGAGAGTCTCAATTGGCACGTGTCTTTGTCCTCTGCCCTTTCACCTGCCAGTTTTACAGGTGTGAGGCTGGGAGTGAGGCAGCCACCTTGTGACCAAGAGAAGCACAATGATGGAAAGAACCTGGGTTCCTGACAGCACTTGAACAGCTCTCCTCAGACTTCTTGCCCACGAGTCCATCTCTACCTGCACAAAGCATGGCTTAGCCTGTATTTCTATTGCTTTGCTAAAAGAAAGAGGGTCAGTGGAACCTCAAGGGAAGGGACTCCAAGAGATGAGTATAGACAGCTGGGACAAGGAAGGGGGTTCCATCTTGCATTATGCTGCATTTGAGGCTCCTTGGTGGTGGTTGGGGGGGGTCACCTGGCTGGAGACAGGCATGAAGGTAAGCCAAGGCTGGAGGCCTCAGCACAGGTAGGGGAGGTCACTGGACAGATGGCCTAGGCTGGAGCGTAGCATATCAACCTTCAAGGTCAGGTGAAGGAAAGGGCGTCTGGGAGGGAGATGTTTCAAGAATACAACATAAATATTTAGATATATATATATATATATATATATGTATATATGTAGTGAAATGATCACCATGATTAGTTAATATCCACCACCTTATGTAGTTTTAAAAAACTCTTTCCTAAAAATACATACTATAGTTTTGTTAACTACAGTCACCATGCTGTACATTACATCCCCATGACTTGTTTTATAACTGGAAGTTTGTACGTTTTGACCACTGGCATCAATTTCCCCCTCCCCCCAACCCTCCACCTCTAGCAACCACCAATCGGTTCTCTGCATCTATGAGCTTGGTTGTCTTTTTTTTTGGTTTTAGATTGCACATGTAAGTAAGAACCTATGGTATTTGTCTTTCTCTATCTGATGTGCCTCACTTAGCATAATGCCCTCAAGGTCCATCCATGTTTTAGTCAATGGCAGGAATTTCTTCTTTTTCATGGGTGAATAATATTCCCTTGTATGAATATACCACAGTTTTTCTAACTTACGGTACCCTAGTAAGCATTTGGGCCACAGGCACAGAACCAGGCCCACGTACCCAATTTCCAAGGTCTCTCCTCGAATCAGACGTAACTTCCGGAAGAAGGAAAGCGACACCAAGGCATAGGACCGGCGGATTTTCAGATACCCCGAAATTTCTTCAATGAGTCCGAGGTTGGCCTCCAGCTCAGCTGCCAGGTTGTCTAAGGAAAGAGAAAACACCCAGTGAGCTTCTATATAAATTTTTCAAATTCCCATAATCTCCCATGGCAAGGAGTCAACCTAAGGACTGCAAATAATTTGGACATATCCTGCTGAACACACATCACATTTAGAATACAACTCAAAGTCCCTACTACAGGGTCTACAAGTCCCTAAATAAGTGACCACAGCTTTTCTCATCTTTTACTTTGTTCATCCTATTCCAGACACACAGGCCCCCACAGGCCCTTAAACAGGCGAGGCACACTCCTGCCTCAGGACTGTTGCACTGGCCGCCTCCTTTGCCCAGAATATTATTCTCCCACATTTATGCTTGCTTTGCTCCATCACCAACTCAAAGAATCCCTCCTCAGACCAGAAACTTCTACAATAGCAAAACCCCCTTGCTTCTCCATCTCAGAGGCTGGCAAATGACCGCCCACTGGCCAAATCCAGCCTGTGTTGTAAATAAAGTTTAATCGGAACAGAGCCAAGTCCGTCTGTTCACAGCCTCTCTATGTCTGTTTTTACTCGGCAACATCAGAGCTGAATATGTAACTCAGAGACCGCCTGGCCTGCAAGGCTGAATGTATTTATTAAATGGCCCTTTATAAGAAAAGGTCACCGACCCCGGCTCCCTCTGTTAACCTGCTGTCCCCCACGAGTTTACATTCTACATGGATCTGCTTATTTGGAAGATCCATCATGAGCAGACCTTGCCTTGTTCACTGTGAGGACTCAATAAATGTTTGCTTAATAAATAAACAATGGAATGCCTTCTTGCCGGTGATGGTATTTCTAGAAATATGATCCGCAGACCTGCCACAGGGCATGTTGCCTGTTTGTTAAAAATGCAAATTCCTGATGTCATGACTCCCAGTTTGGACACTAAGAATTTCAGGGTGGGTGGAGCCAGGCCTGAGCTGTGAATTTCAGGCTTGAAAGCAGATCCCTTAAGTGGCTCTCCACTGATCAGTGGCATCTGGGCTGTTTTTCCTCTGTGCTCCCAGAATTGGACCCCAGCAGGCCACACCCTGTCCCCGCACAGCACTTACTGCCCCCTCGAATGTTAATGATGAGGCTCCCGTTGACGACAGTGCAGCCTCGGAGCTCCTGGGCGGATGTCACCGAGTCAATGGTCTTCTCGCCTTCCAGTGGGTGGCAGACTTTGGGACAGGGGCCCAGGCATGGAGTGCACATCAAGCTAAGGAAAGAGCAGAGAGAGAACGGGGTCAGGGCACATGGGACCTCACACACACACGGCAGACCGCACGGAGCTCACGGTCCCAAGAGATAGGACTTACACCATTTACCCTAAGGCTGGGAGTTTTAACCACAGCACCTTTGACATTTAGGGCCGGGGAATTCTCCGCTGTGGGGGGGCTGTCCTGCACATTGAGGGGGCTGAGCAGCATCCCTGGATTTCACCCACTCATTGCCAGGGGCACTTGAGGTGTGACAGTCAAAAATATCTCCAAACATTGTCCTCTGCAGGAGGGAGGGACAGATGGTGTCCGGAAAGAAACTGAAGTGACAGGCTTATATCATTACCCAAGGATGACAGATCCTAGAACAGCACCCTGAAGTCATGTTTTACCCCAAAGTGACAGGATTTTCACTGCACCTAAGGGAGGATCATATGTCTACCCCGTACAGACAGGACCCACCCCCTTACACCAAGTGGATGGACTTGTGGTGTTACCATGGCAACAGAAATTATGCAGAGCTGATGGGCCAAAATGATAGGATTCATTTTGCCGCTGTGCCCAGTTACCAGTAGCCCCCCCACCCCACGGGGTCCCTGAGGTCAGCTCTCGGCTAGCATGACCTTCTTAGATCCAGCCAGGACCCAGGATCCAGGCCAGGCTGGGCATTGTCTTCCATGCCCCTGGGGGTTCAGAGGTAGCCACACACCCAAGCCAGCCCAGTGAGGGTTTTGCTAGAACTTAAATTGTCTAAAGCACTTGGCACATAGGAAACAAAGATAATCAGTCCTTGTTACGACGACCCTTTGTGAGTGGCAGACATCCTTGTCTTACTGTTGGCATTTCCATATCCCTGCATATCCCATCCTTCCGAATAATCTCTGTGTTGGTGGTGTAATAAAGAACATCTCTGGCCTTTGTCTCAGCTCCTGGCACAAAACTTCAAAGGCCCTGGGAATTTCCACAGCAATAACAGCATCCTTGTTAGGCCCATAAGGTGACTTCTGATGGTCTCTACATAGCTTTAGGATGACGGCCGGTCACCAGAAAGACCAAATCTGTGATTACCAGGTTGGACCTTTCAGCCACGTGACCTCCAGAGAGGGGCGCAGGGGCTAGATGGTCAAGGATTCAATCCATCACACCTCTGCAATGAGACCCCAACAAAAATGCCAGACACCAAGTCAGTGGAGCTCCCCGGATGGCGAATGCATCAGTGCACCAGGATGATGTCGCTGAATCTGCCAGGGCCCGGAAGCTCTGTGTCAGGGCCTCTCCTAGACCTTGCCCTAAGTGTATCCTCAATGATAAAGCTGTAATCATCAGTATATGTCATGTAAGTGCCTGACATGAAGCTTCCGATTGCCAATGTCCATCTTGAATAAACAACACAGCTGCTAGCCAAACAGCCAGATAAGAAATTAGGCCACCCCCCACCCAGCAAGGTCCCTTTTTCAGACATCCCTGGGTGACACCGATAACTGACCACCTGCGGGGTCTGACGCCAGCCTCGGGGGGTTGGTGTCAGAACGGATCTGTCATGCACCCAGCTGCTGTCAAACAGCTGGGGTGGAAACAGAACTGCGACCCAATGTTTGTGCTCTTTGGCTGGTTCTACACGGAGCACCTATTATGTGACAGGTGATAATCTAAGCCAGGGGTGTTGGCAAACTAGGGCCCACGGGCCAAATCCAGCTGGCCACCTGTTTTTGGCAAACAACATTACACGGGAACACAGCCACACCCACACTGGTTTATGTTATCCTCTATGGCTGCTCTCAGCTTTAAGGGTAGATGAGTGGCTCCAACAGAGACCATATGGCCCTCAGAACTGAAAATATTTACTATCTGGCCCTTTGCCAACACCTGTTCTAAACCACAGGTACACATGAGCCAACAGAATAGACGATCTACTTTCCCTGCTGCAGATCACAAATGGCCACAAGGTCTTCGCAGCCCTTACCACCAAAAAGTGGAGTCTATTTCCCCACCCGCTGAATCAGGGTTTGGCCAATGGGACCATAGCAGAGGCTTGAAAAGTACTTTGCACATCAGGGCATGCCAATCCTGGCTACTGGGCTGAGAAACCACATGGAGAGGGGCCACAGCTGCCCACCTAAGACCTGAGAGGCTATCCTATACCGCCCAGTCCCAGCTGACCCAGCCCAGGCCAGACAAACCGCCAGTCAACCCAAAGAATCATTAGAAATCTTGAGTGAGTGTTGTTTCACGTCCCCAAGGGCTGGGGTGGTTTGTTACACAGCAAGCGCTAACCGATACATTTGCAAAGCATATGGTCTGATTGGTGGAAATTTTTAAACTGACACTTGAAACACCAGCTACAGTAAAGGATATGCCCAGAGTTAAAAACTGAGCAATGTGTCAGAAAGTTGCTGGATGGCAAATTCTGACAGGGTGGTCAGAGAGGGAAGGATTCTGAGAGGAAGGTACTTTCAAGGTATGAAGCCAGCCATGCGAAGATCAAGTGGCAGAGAATTCTAGAGGGAGGGAACCACACCCATCACGCTCTTCATATACACACCAAATATCAAGTAGCCCTTATCTCAGTAAAGAGCACCCTTGTGCCCCCACCAAAGACCTCAGAAGGACCACAGATGGTAAGGCCTTTCAATGAATTCACGCGGCTTCCCAGACCTCTCTTCCGAAAACATCAAAAACTATTTTCCAGAGGTGCCCCAAGAATGGAAGAAATGATCTGGTCCTATCTGGTATCAAACCACATTAGAAGATGCACCGACATTCAAGTCCTTCATGAAATAAAAGCTTCAGAAGGAAAACCGTTCATTTCTTTCAAAACTCACAAAGTAAAATACTGCTATGACAGTGCTATTGGGGGGCCCCTCCGCAGGCCCTGGCGTACTCAGGAAAGGTCCCAGGCACCAGGACACGCCACCAGTTTCATGGGGTTTCAGTCCTAGGAGCCAGTATCACATCCACAAGAATATCAAAGGAGGTCGCTCTATTTCTCAGGCCTTAGTTATGGCCAGGAAAAAAATACCTTTCATTTAAAGCCAACGTCTTTTAAACCAACATCTCACAGGAAGATGTCAATATCCATGCTTTATATCAAACATGAAAACAAAACAGAAATGAATTAAAGGGAATTCTGATAAAATGGCCCAAAAATAGGCAGGGAGGAAAAAAACCTGTCTGGAACACAAAGGTGATTTACGGAGGCCTATTTTGGGGCAACAAAGCTACTTGATAGGTTTTATAAAAAAAAAAAACAAATAAAACATTTTGTCCTTGGAGGTTCCACAAACACTTGAAAAGAGGCTCCCCTAAGAACGGAAATAAAGATTGTTTTCCTTCCCACCCACCCGGGGAAATGAAATTTCCCACCAGAACAACTCTCGCTTGGCTAATTCTCAAGTCCAAATAGGAAGATTTTTTTACGTAAGCAGATCAGCTCAAAGCCCTGGACGTGCGTCTGTTTCTGACTTGTTTTTGTGCTGTTTGGTGGGGGTTTTTTTTTTTCCAACCCTCGACATCAAAACCAGGAAACAGATTTTTTTAAGCTTGGTTACAGCCCCCGAGACACCAAAATAGCTCATTTAAGAAGCTAACAGTGTGAGCAAAAAGTCTTCAATGGGCATAGGAAATCTGACTCACTGCCGAGGAGAGAAAATCCTGCTATTTCTCACCCAAGTAGTAGGAAATGGGTTGGCAGCACTGTCCTACAAAAAACAACAAAGCCCTGGGAATGATCTAGAACCGAGCCTCTTTGTCCTTGAGTTCCAGGTGAATCTCAGCAAACCTGGGCCTGTAACAGTCAGGCAGCTACATCAGGGGGCCCAGCCCAGTCCTTGGGGCGGTTTCTAGGACTTCTATCTTTCTGTCTCCTATTCTCAAAGCGAAGCACAGAAGGCTTTAAAGATGGTGTGCAAGATGCCAAAAATATTTATTCTCCAGCTCTTTACAGAAAAAGTTTGTGGACTCCAGCTCTGAAGGCCAGGACCAAAGCTGGAGGCAGAAGTGGCATCTGAGAGATGCATGTCACAAAACATGAGCAAGTTCCTAGCTCCTGGCCAGCTAACTCTGGGTTTCCGCACAGTTTTAACAGGTGGCACCAATGGCAATTGCATGCTGCCACCCCCACCCCCACACCAGAACCCACACCCGGGACTCACTTGCTGGAATTCATCGTGTATCCAGAGGGACACTCCGGGATGCACCTGTCATTGTGGATGACATACTGGTGGCAACCTGGCGCCCGGGAGTTCTTGCATTTGTTATGCAGGTCCTGGCAGAAGCTGAAGTTCACGCAGCGCCAGTCTTGGAAGTGGTAGTACGGGGGTGGGCAGGTCTCCACGCACCTGCCCTCCAGGTAGAAGTTACGGCAGGCCACGCACCTGGTGGGGTCATTGGGCTCGGAGCAGTTGCCCAGACACTCACTGTGGCAGCAGAGGCCTTCAGCGGTGCAGCCGTGTGACTTGCATACAGTCGGGCAAACTAGAGACAGAAAGGAAACAGCTGGTCAAAGGCTCTGCCGATACCTGCCTGCGCAGAGGGCCGGGCTGGATCAGGCAGGGCAAGCCACACAAAACAGTAACAAAACAGTCACACTTCTATAGCCCGAGCCAGGCACAGCTATGGACTCATTCCAGCTCCCAAACCAGGGACGTAAACACTCCCACCATGGCCCATGTCAGGCTACCAACGAAAAGTTACTGAACTTGGAGCTGGTAAGATTCATCACAGCATTAAACTGTGTGGCCACTGTAGACAGCTGACCTGTGAACAGCACGTGGATGTTTTTCCATGAGTAAGTTGGACAAAAAAAATGTTTGAGATTGGCAACAATTTGCAAGATCACTTTCTTTTCTCTAGCCTACTTTTTTGTAAGAACATAGTGCATGATTCAGAGAACACACAGAATACATGTTCAGCTGTTCATGTCATTGGTAAGGCTTCTGCTCAACAGCAGCCTATTAGTTTTCAAGGCAGGGGGCTGGCACCCCAAGTTCCTGTGTGGGACAGGGGCCAACTGTAGTAGTAGGAAATAACCTCAAAAGCATTCATCGAAAAACACAGTGAGATAATTCAGGAAACAGTGAGTGTTGGGTATTCCTTACCTTTGTTTTTAACACAACTTGTTTAATTATGAGTTCCTATCATTTACATTTTAATAACAGCTTGTTTAATAACTAAGTTTCCTAGAAATTATACAAGTGGCCCTAGCAAGCTGGCTCAGGCTGGTATAAACAGAGATGTGGTCAACTGCATTTTCTCTGTTTTACAAACGGGAAAACGAAGGCACAGAGAGGTAAGGCAGACTACCCAAAGGTCACGGGCTGTTTCGTCAGACATTGGAGTGCATTGATCTAAATACTGAGACACGGTGTGAACAAGGTGACTGCAGACCCTGCCTCCAGCTGCCCATGGCCTGGTGGACGTGGCACATCAGTAATTGAGACCAATGCGTAATTGCGTTAGCAACGAGAGCCACGCTGCAGGGAAGGGGAGGTGACACTTCTGCGGCGACCTATAGGAGATCATAAACGGGCAGAAAGCAGAAGGGTGTGCAGCTGGGGGGAAGAGGCCATGTGTGGGCTTCGTGCTTGGAAGAAGTTTCTTGTTCATCACAATTGAACTTGTCCACCGAAGGCTGGAGGCCACCTGGCTTCCCCCAGCAGCTGGTCACACATCCCTCTTCTCCGTGTCTCACTACTCATCGCTTCCTAATTACCCTTTGATTTCGGTCTCTCGGCATCCAGCCTGGGTCCCAAGGGCCAGCCCTCCCTGCCCAGGCTGCCAGCAAATTTGTTCAAGGACAGATGGCTTCCCTGAGGCTGGACAGACCTCGGCCACAGCACAGCCTGTCCTGGGAGATGTTTACATCTGCGCTCATGCCCTGCCCGGCTTGAAACACGGTCTGGAAGTACGCTTCAGCCTAAATTCTCAGGCTCTTGGATTGTGGCAGCAAAGGTCATGGCCCAAGTGGACCGCACTGACCGGACCCCAGAAACAGGAGCAGCCCCTGAACCAAAGCCACACACGAGACGCACTGTCTGATGGACTTCCCTTGACGACAGAAATGTTTTTGCTCTGCACTGCCCACCACAGGAGCCATTTCTCACCTGTGGCTGCTGAGTGCGGTTACTGCAACAAGGAACCAAATCTCTTTTTAATTGTGGCAAAACACACATAGCATAAAAGTGACCATCTGAACTATTCCTGAGTGCACAGCTCGGCAGCAGGAAGCACATTCACACGTCATGCAGCCG